GTGGTTTCAGTAAGTGAATGAAGATACTGCAAATCCCATCATCCATGGTCCATCCCCCTTAGAACTGCATCAGGATGTAGAGTGGGTCATGAGTACTCTCTGTGCCAAGTTTGGGCCTGGTCTGTTAAAACGAACTAAATTTCCTTTGACCAGGTGCTGGCCACTCCGAGTGTCTCTGGTGTCACTGTGAGAAGGTCCTCCATTGTGCATGTGTGGCATGGCTCAAGTTGCATCGTAATAAGTGGTCTGTGGTTTGCTCTTCTCCACACTCACATGTCATGGACTCCACTTGGTGGCCCCATTTCTTAAGGTTGGCTCTGCATCTCGTGCCGGAGCGCAGTCTGTTCAGCACCTTCCAAGTTGCCCAGTCTTCTTTGTGTCCAGGAGGGAGTCTCTCATCTGGTCTCAGCCACTTATTGAGGTTCTGGGTTTTAGCCTGCCACTTTTGGACTCTTGCTTGCTGAGGTGTACCTGAGAGTATTTCTGTAGATCTTAGGAAGCTGTTTCCTGATTTAAGATGTTGGCGAGCTGGCTGATATCTGAAGAGAGGATGGGCCGGAGATGTCATTGCCTTGGTCCTTGCTGGCTGCTACTACCCAACAGATATCAGTTGGTGCAATACTGGATAAACCGTATAATTTCTCCAGCGGTATAGAGCATAGACATCCTGTGATAATGCAACATGTCTCATTAAGAGCCACATCCACTGTTTTAACCTAGTGATATGTTTTCCACCCTGGGCATGCATATTCAGCAGCAGAATAGCAAAGCACAAGGGCAGATGTCTTCACTGTGTCCGGTTATGATCCCCAGGTTGTGCCAGTCAGTTTTCATATGATATTACTCCTAGTGCCCACTTTTTTCTTGATATTCAAGCAGTGCTTCTTGTAAGTCAGAGCATGGCCCAGGGTATCTTCCAGGTATCTGCGTGTTCTGCAATCTTCCAGTGGGATTCCTTCACAGGTAATCCTCAGAGCCTGAGATGCTTGTCTGTATTTAAAATGAAAAGCACACGTGTGCGATTTAAATGGATTAGGAATTGGTTGGTTTTCCCTGTAATAGGCAGTAAGAGCACCTAAAGCTCCTGAGAACTTCAGTTCAACCATTTCAAAGCTCCCTGCTTGGGCGGTGATGGCATGATTGTCAGCATAGATTAAACTCTCTGTCCCTTGTGGCAGTGGCTGGTCATTTGTGTAAATGTTGAACATTGATGGTACAAGCTGTTTTTCCCTATAATAGGCAATAAGAGCATCTAAAGCTTCAGAGAGCTTCTGTTCAACCATTTCAAAGCTACCTGCTTGGGCGGTGATGGCACGATCGTCAGCATAGATGAAACTCTCTGTTCCTTCTGGCAGTGGCTGGTCATTTGGGTAAATGTTAAACATTGATGGAGCAAGCTGGTTTCCCTTGTAATAAGCAATAAGAACATTTAAAGCTTCAGAGAACGTCTATTCAACCATTTGAAAGCTCCCTGCTTGGGTGGTGATGGCACGATCGTCAGCATAGATGAAACTCTCTGTCCCTTCTGGCAGTGGTTGGTCATTTGTGCAAATGTGAAACATAGATGAGGCAAATGTTGAACATTGATGGTACAAGCTGTTTTTCCCTATAATAGGCAATAAGAGCATCTAAAGCTTCGGAGAGCTTCTGTTCAACCATTTCAAAGCTACCTGCTTGGGCGGTGATGGCACGATCGTCATCATAGATGAAACTCTCTGTCCCTTCTGGCAGTGGCTGGTCATTTGGGTAAATGTTAAACATTGATGGAACAATCATGCTTCTCAGAGGCAGGTCGTTCTTCTGTTTTATCCATCTGCTTCCCTGGCCCTGGAACTCAACAAAAAAGCTCCTGTTCTGTATAATAATAATAATAATTATAATTATTTTATTTTATTTCTTACTTGCCTATCCTTGTGTCTCGAGGTGGGTTACAGCGTAATTGAAATACATATTGTGAAAATGCTATAAATATACATATTTTTATAAAATACGTGTATCAATATGTATTTTTGTAAAATGCATATTAAAATACACAGAGCAGAGATCAAACACAAGACATGAATTTAAAATCCATGCTTAAAAGTGGCTGGTTTTAATGCATGATGTTTGAGTGGAAATCTGCATACATCCAAGGACCGTTGTGGAGGTGGGCAGAAACCGGAGCAACTAATTCCTGACCTTTGAGTGACATATGCAAGTTTCCCACTTGTAGTTTTGATTGGTGTTTTGATTTCTGGAAAGGAAGCCGTTTGCATCCACTCCAGCCTGTAAATTTTGTGGCCAGGCGTTACAACAACATCTGTTATAGAACTCCAGTATGCTGATGACAACGTCATGTGCGCACATTCAGAAGAAGACCTACAAGCCACTCTAAACACCTTCGCAGAAGCATACGAGAAGCTCAGCCTGTCATTGAACATTGAGAAAACCAAAGTGGTCTTCCAGCAGTCACCAGCCAATCCCTTTCCAATGCCGGAACTACAGCTTAATGGTGTAACATTAGAACATGTTGACCATTTCTGCTCTCTTGGCAGCCACCTCTCCACAAAAGTCAACATTGACACTTAATTGCAACACCGCCTGAGCTCTGCAAGTGCAGCATTTTCCCAAATGTAGCAGAGCGTGTTTGAGGACCGGAACATCCATAGGGAGACCAAGGTGATTGTTTATAAAGTCATTCCCCTCCCAACCATGCTATACACCTGTGAAAAGTGGACTGTCTACAGACGTCAGATGGAACTCCTGGAACGATTCCATCAGTGTTGCCTCCAAAAAAAATCCTGCAAGTGAAGCATTCTTCCAAATGAAGCAGAGAGTGTTGGAGGACCGGGACATCCGTAGGGAGACCAAGGTGCTTGTTTATAAAGCTATTGTCCTCCCAACCCTGCTATATTCCTCTGAAACATGGACTGTCTACAGACGTCACATGCAACTCCTGGAACAATTCCATCAGCGCCGCCTCTGGAAAATCCTGCAAATCTCTTGGGAAGACAAGTGGACAAATGTCAGCGTGCTGGAAGAAGCAAAGACCACCAGCATCGAAGCAATGGTCCTTTGCCATCAACTCCACTGGACCGGCCACATTGTCTGTATGCCCGACCACCATCTCCCAAAACAGTTGCTCTACTCCGAACTCAAGAACGGAAAAAGGAATGTTGGTGGGCAGGAAAAGAGTTTTAAAGATGGGTTCAAAGCCAACTTTAACAATTCTGGCATAGACACTGAGAACTGGGAAGCCCTGGCCCTTGAGCACTCCAGCTGGAGGTCAGCTGTGACCAGCAGTGCTGTAGAATTTGAAGAGGCACGAATGGCGAAAGAGAGAAACGTGCCAAGAGGAAGGCGCGTCAAGCCAACCCCGACCGGGACCGCCTTCCACTTGGAAACCAATGCCCTCACTGTGGGAGAAAATGCGGGTCAAGAATTGGGCTCCACAGTCACTTACGGACCCACCCTGGAGGATTATCCTACTCGGACAATGAGGGATTGCCTAAGTAAGTAAGCAAGCCTTGTCCCATTCAGGTTCCTTGCCCGGCAGCTCTGTCAACTTTCAGTTCCAGTTCCCGAGAAGGATGCTTAATTGGCGTTGGTGCTCCATCTCGCTATGGAGGCAATTCCCCCCTGTGGCTGGGATTGGACCGAGGCTTCGGCCCGGTTTACAAGCCCTCGCTTTCATCTCTGGGATTTGCTCCAGTAACACAGCACATTCCTTTTCCGCCACGTGGGCATTCTCTGAATTACTACTGGTAAGCTCTTGGGCCAGGCTGCTGCTTCGGCAAGGAGAGCGTTGCCCAGATTGTCTCATGCCCAAAGGCTGGGAGACTTGAAGAATTTTCCGACTGGCACGGCCACGGCTTGTGCTGGGCCTGTGAAAGGGAAAAGCAAAGCGATCCAAGAATCTCAGCTTGCTGTGTTGAGTCACTGTGGTGCATCTATATAAATAAAAATGTAATGTTCGTTTGTGGGATTAACAGAACTCAAAAACCGCTGAGCGAATTGACACCAAATTTGGACACAAGACACCTAACAACCCAATGTATGTCCTTCACTAAAAAAATTTGATTTTGTCATTTGGGAGTTGTAGTTGCTGGGATTTATAGTTCACTTACAATCAAAGAACATTCTGAACCCCACCAATTTATTTATCGTGTCATCCGCAACCAGAACATTGTATTACATTTCTAACAGAACAAAACAAACAAACAGATAAAAGAACCCACAAATTTTGCAAACTTGGTAGCTGATTAAATGTCCTTTGACCAGTATCTGGCCCCTTGGAGTGCCTCTGGTGTTGCCGCAAGGAGGTCCTTCCTTGTGCATGTGGCAGGGCTCAGGTTGCATTGCAGCAGATGGTCTGTGGTTTGCTCTTCTCCACACTCACATGACATGGATTCCACTTTGTGGCCCCATTTCTGAAGGTTGGCTCTGCATCTCGTGGTGTCAGAGCACAGTCTGTTCAGCGCCTTCCAAGTCTCCCAGTCTTCTGTGTGCCCAGGGGTGAGTCTCTCGTTTGGTATCAGCCATTGGTTGAGGTTCTGGGTTTGAGCCTGCCACTTTTGGACTCTCGCTTGCTGAGGTGTTCCAGCGAGTGTCTCTGTAGATCTTAGAAAACTATTTATTGATTTAAGTCGTTGACGTGCTGGCTGATACCCAAACAGGGGATGAGCTGAAGATGTCTCTGCCTTGGTCCTTTCACTATTGGCTGCGACTTCCCGGCGGATGTCAGGTGGTGCAATACCGGCTAAGCAGTGTAATTTCTCCAGTGGTGTAGGGCGCAGACACCCCGTGATAATGCGGCATGTCTCATGAAGAGCCACATCCACTGTTTTAGTGTGGTGAGATGTGTTCCACACTGGGCATGCGTACTCAGCAGCAGAGTAGCACAGCGCAAGGGCAGATGTCTTCACTGTATTCAATGAGTGTCACTGATTTGTAGTCCTGAAAATTACCAGGAGGGAACTTCTTTGGTGTGTGACCATGCCGATCTCTTCTTCTTTCCAGGAGCCCTTGAAGGAGCGAATGCCATGGTCCGCGATTGGCTCTTGAGGGCATAGGGTTGTTTTTTTTTTAACATGGAAGAAGGAGGTGGAAAAGAAGAAGTCATCGACCTGAATAGTTTCCGGAGCCACCGAGGGAAAGGTAAATTGTGTTCTTTTCCTTTCAGGTGTGTTGCATGAGGATTGTAAAAGCATTTCCCCGCCTTTTGTGTTTGATTTTTATTATCCTACTAGCTGTACCCTGCCACGCGTTGCTGTGGCCCATTGTGGAAAAATAGGAAAGTAAGAAAAGAGGAAGAGCTGGTTTCTAAGCTATCAATACACAACGGAAGTGGTAAAGTTTCAACCTAATACAGGCCCATTTCAGTCTCCTCGAGGCCAAAGGGTTCTATGGATGTGTGGAAGGGCCCTGGGTTACCTGAGTCCACACTGCCATGTAACCCAGTTCAAAGATTTTATATAGGTATTGTTGTCATTATAGACATATAGATATTATTATAGGCATGTAGACATTATTATTATAGATACAAATATTATTATTAAAGCTATATAGGTATTAGTATTATAGATGTTATTTATTTATGAATTTCATATCAAAAGCATTGCATAAATTAGTATAAAACTGATTGAAAATAGAAGGAGCAGAGGGCTCAATATCTTTTGAGCAAAAACAGGCATTATTAGATAATTAATTATGGATATTATTAGAGACCTATAGATATTGACATATAGATGTGATTATTTTTATTGTTATTTTTATAGATATTATATAGCTATTATTATTATAGATGTATAGATATTATTATTATATTATATTATTATATTATTATTATTCTATTACTATATTATTATAGATGTATAGATATAACGGTGCTCCATGCAGTCATGCCGGCCACATGACCTTGGAGGTGTCTATGGACAACGCTGGCTGTTCGGCTTAGAAATGGAGATGAGCACCACACCCCAGAGTCAGACATGACTTAATGTCAGGGGACTACCTTTACCTTTACCTATAGATATTATTATACTTTATATAGATATTATATAAATATTTATATATATAGATATTTATATAGATATTATTATACTTTATATAGATATTATATTATATTGGCCACATCATGAGGAGACAGGAAAGCCTAGAGAAGACAACTATGCTGGGGAAAGTGGAAGGCAAAAGGAAGAGGGGCCGACCAACGGCAAGATGGATGGATGGCATCCTTGAAGTGACTGGACTGACCTTGAGGGAGCTGGGGGTGGTAACGGCCGACAGGGAGCTCTGGCGTAGGCTGGTCCATGAGGTCACGAAGAGTCAGAGACGACTGAACGAATGAACAACAACAACATAGATATTATTATTATAGACATAGATATTATAGGCATATAGGTATTGTTGTAAATGTACAGATATTTTTGACAGACAGATATTATAATTATAGACATATGGATATTATTATAGACCTGTAGATATTATTATAGGCATATAGACATTATTACAGACATATAGATATTATGATAGAAATGTAGTTATTATTGTTAAAGACGTATAGATATCATAGACATATATATTATTAGGGATTGGTAGATATTATTATGATGGATATATAGATATTATTATTATTATTGTGCATATATTATAGCCCAGGGTTGCTATAAAGTAAAAATGGATGGCCATCTTTTGGGAGTGTTTTGATTTTGCCTTCCTGGACAGCCTTTGCTAACTCACAGAGCGTGCCTTTTTTGTCCCTTCTTTGAATACTGGACTTCATTTCCCAGAATGCCTTCCCATAACTCAGTATGGGTGAGGTTTGTGGGCGCACACACACACACACAGAATCCCTGTGAGTTCCCAGCAGCCCAGCGGAGGCAGCGAGGCAAGAAGGAAAGGAACTCTCTCTCTCTCTCTCTCTCTAAGCGGTTGGGTTTTTTTCCCTCGTGCAGGGGCAAGGGAGAGTGTTCTTTTAACACAGGCTCTATATAGGCATTTAGCCTTGTGGGGGTTAGTTCTTCCCAGTTAATTCCTTCCCACCTGCTACTAAGGAGGCTGTCGAGGTCCTGAACCGGTGCCTGGCCGCTGTAATGGTCTGGATGAGGGCGAACAAACTGAAATTAAATCCAGACAAGACAGAGGTACTCCTGGTCAGTCGCAAGGCCGAACGGGGTATAGGGTTACAGCCTGTGCTGGATGGGGTCGCACTCCCCTTGAAGGCGCAGGTTCGCAGCTTGGGTGTGACCCTGGACTCATCGTTGAGCCTGGATCCCCAGGTGTCAGCGGTGACCAGGGGAGCATTTGCACAGCTTAGGCTCGTGCGCCAGCTGCGCCCGTATCTCGGGAAGTCTGACTTGGCCACGGTGGTACACGCTCTGGTCACATCCCGCCTTGACTACTGCAACGCTCTCTACGTGGGGCTGCCCTTGAAGACGGCCCGGAAGCTTCAGCTGGTTCAGCGCGCGGCAGCCATGTTACTAACTGGAGCGGGGGGCAGGGAGCATACAACGCCCTTGTTGTCCCAGCTCCATTGGCTGCCGATTTGCTACCGGACCCAATTTAAGGTGCTGGTTTTGGCCTACAAAGCCCTAAACGGTTCTGGCCCAAAATACCTTTCGGACCGCATCTTGGCCTACGAGCCCACGAGGACCTTGAGATCGTCTGGGGAGGCCCTTCTCTCGATCCCGCCTGCCTCACAGGCACGTCTGGCGGGGACGAGAGAGAGGGCCTTCTCGGTGGTGGCCCCCCGGCTGTGGAACACTCTCCCTGTAGACATCAGACAGGCGCCCTCCCTCATGACCTTCCGAAAAAGCCTTAAGACATGGCTGTTCGAGAAGGCATTTAATTAAGTGTTATAACAATGTGGTAAAGATGATTGGAATGGAATAAGGAATATGAGATTGGCTTATGATTCCACTATGAGACGAAGCGGATTTTTAGTGTAGTCCTTGTAATTGTTATGTAGTTGATATGTTGTTGTAATTGCCTTTTTGTAAATTGTCTTTTATATGTGTGTACACCGCCATGAGTCGCCCTAAAGGGCTGAGAATGGCGGTTAATAAATGCATCAAATAAATAAATAAATTAATTAATTATTGTTTATTTTTTTGAGTGGAGAACATAAATTGGGTTGTTAGGTGTATCATGTCCAAATTTGGTGTCAATTCCCCCAGTGGTTTTTGAGTTCTGATGATAGCACAAACGAACATTACATTTTTATTTATATAGACTAGCTGTACCCGCCACGTGTTGCTGTGGCCAACCTTCCCTTATTGCTGCGCAAACTTTGGAAACATACTTCAACGTGGAGTCACGAGGAGTAAAGAATAAGTATTTATGAGCTGCCGCAAACCTTTAGCCGGTCGATAAGTGTCTCCTCCTTCCTTCAGATAGGATTAACCACAGAGACGAGGGGCTTATCACCATTTCGGACTCTTCGGATGAAGACTTGCCTGTGATGCTGGACGTTCCCATTCACCGACAGTGGGAGGATGAGGAGGATGATGATGTCGTCATCTTGATGGAGGTAAATCTGTCATCCCCCCGTCCCCCCCATCTCATCAGTATGCAAAATCAAACCTTTTATATGTTTCCATTGGTCAACAATAATCTGATGGATTGCTGTGAGTTTTCTGGGCTGTCTAGCCATGTTCCAGAAGCATTCTCCCCTGATGTTTCGCCCACATCTATGGCAGGCATGCTCAGAGGTTGTGAGATCTGTTGGAAATTAGGAAAATTGGATTTATATATCTGTGGAATAATGTCCAGGGTGGGAGAAAGGCCTCTTGTCTGTTTGAGGAAAGTGTGAATGTTGCAGTTGATGACCTTGATTAGTTAAATGTGTGTGACACACATTTGTGCAACACACATTCTGGACACTGTATTCCAAGCTAATCTACCCCAAAGGGCTGTTAAGAAAGCATTAAAAATTGAAATTAACTAAAAATTGAAATTAACTGAAATAATATTGCAATTGATCACCTTGATTAGCACTGAATAGCCTTGCAGCTTCAAAGCTTGGCTGCTTCCTGCTCAGGGGAATCCTTTGCTGGGAGGTGTTAGCTGGCTCTGACTGTTCCTTGTCTGGAATTCCCCTGTTTTTTGAGTGTACCACTTTATTTACTGTCTTGATTTTAGAGTATTTTTAAATACTGGTAGCCAGATTTTATTCATTTTCATGGTATCCTCCTTTCCGTTTGTGTTTTCGGTTTGTGTTTCTGGTTTTTCTTTATTGTAATAGTTGTTTGGGCTTGACCTCATGTAAGCCGTTCCGAGTCCCCATCGGGGAGATGGTGGCGGGATATAAATAAAGATTATTAGTTTCTTGTGGGTTTTTTCGGGCTATAGAGCCATGTTCTAGAGGCATTTCTCCTGACGTTTCGCCTGCATCTATGGCAAGCATCCTCAGAGGTTGTGAGGTTGTCACCTCACAACCTCTGAGGATGCTTGCCATAGATGCAGGCGAAACGTCAGGAGAAATGCCTCTAGAACATGGCTCTATAGCCCGAAAAAACCCACAAGAAACTAGTGATTCCAGCCATGAAAGCCTTCGACAATACAATAAAGATTATTATTATTATTATTATTATTATTATTATTATTATTCTGTTGAAATTGTCCACATGCATGTGGATTTCAGTGACTTCCAGACAAGAAACAATCAGGGCCAGCTAATCACCTCCCAAAAAAGGATTCCCCCAGGCAGGAAGCAGCTAAGCTTTGAAGCTGCAAAGCTATTCAGTGCTAATCAAGGTGATCCATTGCAATATTAATTAACTTCAATTCATTCCAGTAAATTTCAATGTTTAATGCCCTCTTAACAGCCCTTTGGGGTAGATTAGGGTTTCCCAGATTAGGAAATCTCCACTACCGAGTCCTACAAGCACTTTACCAGAACCAATGATTGCTGCACATCGCACTTGCCCTAGTAACCCTCTATACACCTCCTGTCAAATCAGCACTTTTAATCCTTGTACCCACCTTTTGGCCCGGCCCAGTTTTATTGTGTTTTAATGTACTGTACTTGTTGTTTATTTTGCTTTAATTTGTTTTAATTGTTTGATTTGCTTGATTGTATTGTTATGTTGTATTGTTGTGGCCTCGGCCTGTTGTAAGCCGCATCGAATCCTCTGGGAGATGCTAGCGGGGTACAAATAAAGTTTAATAATAATAATAATAATAATAATAATAATAATAATAATAATAATAATAAGCTTGGAATACAGTGTCCAGAATGTGTGTTGCACAAATGTGTGTCTCACACATTTAACTCTCCCTAACTGAGATAAGGATTTGAACTCAGGCCATCCTTGGACCCTGGTGAGTATTGCACTCCAAGGCTGTACTTAACACACACTCCAGTCCAAAGTAAAATAGCAAAGCAATTTATTGGAGAATATAAATAAAAAGCAATTTAGCAAAATAATATAAAAAAAACCAAAGTCCAAATATCAGGAATAATCCACAGAAATCAAAGTACACGAGAAGCATCAAACACCAGAAATACAAAAGCAGAATAAATCCAAAATTTATTTTGGTTGAAACTATTTTTAAAAAGCTTGGCCAACCGTGAGGGTTGACGGGAAGGATGATTGATTACACTGTTCAACGGAGAAAAAGTTTCGGGCCTGAAAATAGTTGTTCTTTTATGATTTTATTTATTTATTTATTTATTTATTTATTACTGCGCTTGTATACCACCGTTTCTCAGCCTACATTGGCGACTCAACGCGGTTTACAACATTACAATAATCAACAATATTCAAGATAAAAAGCATAAAAAAAGCATAAAAACACATACATAATATACAATATTGGGCCACCAATATCGAACCAATGCATCTCTTAGTTAAAAGCGCAGTCCAATTTCATCGTCTGTGATTACCAGTCCTTGATCGTCAGATTCGTTGCACCATGTTAACCGAATGCTTGTTCGAACATCCATGTCTTCAGTCTTTTTCGAAACGCCACCAGTGAGGGGGCTGATCTTACCTCTATGGGGAGGGCGTTCCAAAGCCGAGGGGCTACCACAGAAAAGGCCCTTTTGGGGTGCTGAAAACGAAAATGACATTTAAAAATGTATATTGGCTCTAGTTTTTATGATATAAGCAATCACGTGATCACGTATGGTTGAAAAAAATGCATGTTGCGACTTACACTATGGAAGATTCTAGAAAGTTTGATGACGCAGTATTAGTGCCGTGTGCAAAAGCCAGAAAGCCCTCTATAAGGCCAGACTTTTGAACGGTGAGGGTCAGTCAGTTGAAGACGGAGACAGTATAGTTAAACATCGTTTCACTTTTTACTATTTACTGTAGTTCTGCCTCCTCGCACGTGTGTCAATAAAGCACTATGGAAAAAGAGATCAAGGCCAATGGACTCCGTCAATGCTGTCAGACTCCTGCTGGAGCATTCATTGGAAGAGGGAATCCTTTCCTTGAATACAAAAGGAATGTCAAGAGAAGCAAACAAGATAGAAACTAAAGTCACGATTAAAGCGACATTTACACTTTCAGACTTTTCAACTGCATTAGGCCTACTCATATACTTTCTTGCTGCACAAACATAAACAATAGACTAATTAAATAAATATTTCTCATGTATAAACTATTGGCAATATAATTGGACTAAAATTTAGTAAATATTCACGGTTTATATACATGCAGTAAGGTTAGGCGCATTATCATAATATTAACGAATTACCTATTGTGGAGAAAATTGAAATAGCTGTTGCATAAAAATTTAATTATTATATTTGAATTCAGCATGTTAAATTTATTAAGAAACGGCACATTTAGTTTCCGCAACTGAGGAAAAACTGAAAATTTGTAGAACAGTGTTATCACTGGGATGATCTCAGGTTCCGTGTCCTGTGTTCATCTCTTTGTTCTCTATGTCTTTTTTGTTTTTGAAAGACGGCTTCCAAGAAGCTGCTGCGCCCCAACGTGATCCGTCCGGCCGCTCCCTGGCAGAGTGCAAACAAGTCAGGGGAAGGCGGATCTCAAAGCGACATGACGGCAGGGTCAGACGAGAAGCAAAAGGTGAGGAGCCCTCCTTCTCCGAGGCGGCACGGAACCCGCCGGAACTGCGTGACGTTGGGCAGGCAGGAAAGCCAGGACGAGGTCTTGGAGCTGCTGGAGCCCCCGGAACCTGCGGGGCCAAGAGGAGCAGAGCCCGGTCCCAGCGTGGCTCGGACACACGGCGACAATAAGGAGATCATTAACGTGGAAGAAGTGGTCTTGATCGCGGATCAGAAGGGGCCGGACCGGGAAGAGCCGCAGCCGAGGCTGGTGCCAAACCTCGTGGGCGCCGTCCGGTGCATCGAGGAGAACATGAGACTCGATCATCCTTACTTCCAGCCGGCCGAGAAGGAGGCGCACGCCGTAGTCAACCTCCTTTCTCCTCGGCACGTGCCGTTGGAACTTGAGCTGGGAGGGCCGTTGCCGAGGGTCTACCAAGAGGAGATCCCCGGGCCCGCCTTTCCCAGGCCGGAGCCGCAGCAAGACGGGATCCCGGGCCGCACGTCCCCTCAGCTGGCTCAGCCGCCCGAGGAAAAGGAAGGGCAGCCGGCAGCAATAAACGAGCAGGCCGGCCCGGCTTTTCCGGTCCAGGGGTCGCTGGATTCTGGCGCCAGCGAGATCCCAAAGCAAAGTGCTGCTGTTCAGCTGGACAAAGACCTCAAGGCTCTTCTCGTCAGAGAAACAGTAAGTGGGTTGCTTGGCTGGGATTGTTGAAATAGGCAGTAAGGTGGTTTTACTTGTTAATTATTAAAAGTCTTACAGATTGCTTTCTAATAATAATAATAATTATTATAATAGTAATAATAATAATAATCTTTATTTCTACTTCGCCACCATCTCCCCAATGGGGACTTGGACGAAAAGCTAAATGACAATACAGAAAAAAGGGAAGAAAGAGAGAGGGAAGGGGAGAAAGAAAGAAAGAAAGAAAGAAAGAAAGAGGGAAGGAGGGAAAGAAAGAAAGAAGGAAAGGGAGAAGGAAGCATGGAAGCAAAGAGAGAAGGAAGGAAGGAAAGAGGTAGAAAAGGAAGAGAGAAAGAGGGAGGGAAAGAAAAAGGAGGAAGGAAAGTTAGAGAAGGAAGGAAGGAGAGAAGGAAAAGGAAAGGAAGAATGGAAGTGGGAGCGAAGGAAGGGGGAAGACGTAGAGAAAGAGGGAGTGAAGCAAGAGAGAAGGAAGAAAAAGACAGCAGAAGAAAAAGAAAAAGGGGGTAGGAAGGAAGGAAGGAAAGAGATAGAGAAAGATGGGTAGGAAGAAAGGAAGGAAGGAAAGAGGGAGTGAAGGAAGGAGGTAAAGAAGGGGAGAAAGAGGAAAGGTTGGCCACAGCAATGTGTGGCGGGTACAGCTAGAAAAAAAAAATATAGAGCCCCCGGTGGCGCAGTGGATTAAAGCGCTGAGCTGCTGAGCTTGTTGACCGAAAGGTTGCAGGTTCGATTCCGGGGAGCGGCGTGAGCTTCCGCTGTCAGCCCTAGCTTCTGCCAACCTAGCAGTTCGAAAACATGCAAATGTGAGTAGATCAATAGGTACCGCTTTGGCGGGAAGGTAACGGCACTCCATGCAGTCATGCCGGCCACATGACCTTGGAGGTGTCTACGGACAACACTGGCTCTTTGGCTTAGAAATGGAGATGAGCGCCAACCCCCAGAGTCAGACACGACTGGACTTAATGTCAGGGGACTACCTTTACATACATACATACATACATACATACATATATATATATATATATATATATATATTCTCCTTTTTTCCTTTCTTTTTCCTTCTTTTTTCCCTTTTCCCTCAGTTTTCCATATATATATATATATATATATATATATATATATATTCTCCTTTTTTCCTTTCTTTTTCCTTCTTTTTTCCCTTTTCCCTCAGTTTTCCTTACCATATTCTTACCCATATAGTGTGAGTAATATTCGTCCTTAATGCAACTGCTATGAGGCATGCAATGAAAACAAAGTGCACAGTCTTCCATCAGCTTCAAAGCCTTGAAGCAGCACATTTATTTAGTTACTTTCTAACAGCTACATAAAAATAACAAACATAACTATGTACAAGAGAAAACACAAACGCATCTTGCTTCTTCTCCAGCATGGCTGGAAGAAAAAATGCCCAACAGTCCGTTATCTCAAATCCACGTCATTGGAATGTGTGACACATACAGGAAGGGCTCACAGTTCACTCTCTAGGCCAGTGGTTCTCAACCTTCCTAATGCCGTGACCCCTTAATACAGTCCCTCATGTTGTGGTGACCCCCAACCATAACATTGTTTTCGTTGCTACTTCATAACAGTCATTTTACTACTGTTATAAGTCATAATGTAAATATCTGATATGCAGGATGCATTTTCATTCACTGAACCAAATTTGGCACAAATACCCAATGCAACCACATGCAAATGCTAGTGGGGTTGGGGGAGGATTGATTTTGTAATTTGGGAGTTGTAGTTTCTGGGGTTTATAATTCACCTGTAATCAAAGAGCATTCTGAACTCCACCAGCAATGGATTTGAAGCATTCTGAACCCTACCAATGATGGAATTGAACCAAACTTGACACACAGAACACTCACGACCAACAGAAAACACTGGAAGGGTGTGGTGGGTATTGACCTTGAGTTTGGGAGTTGTAGTTCACCTATATCCAGAGAGCACTGTGGACTCATGCAATGGTGGATATGGAACAAACTTGGCACAAATACTCAATATGCGCAAATGTGAACACTGGTGGAGCTTGAGGAAAATAGACCTTGACATTTGTAGTTGCTGGGATTTATAGTTCATTACAATCAAAGAGCATTCCGAACTCCACCAACGATAGAATTGGCTCAAACTTCCCACATGGAATCCCCATGACCATCAGAAAATACTGTGTTTTCTGATGGTCTTTGGCGACCCCTCTGACACACCTTCGCGACCCCCTCAGGGGTCCCGACCCCCAGGTTGAGAAACACTGCTCTAGGCAGTAAATCACTCCATGCCTTTAACTCTTGCATAGCATTACGTTCTTTGCAGGACACCCAGAGTCTAAAAACTATAAACTATATTTCACACCAGTAACAACGCCATTGTACTCACAATAGTTACCCTTTTTCTCCCCCCCCCTTTTTTTACCTTCTCTCCGAGAAACTTTCCCACCCTTTCTTCCCAACCCTGCTACCCTGAGTTTTCATAAATAAATAAAAAAATATTTTAAAAAAAGAATATTAATTTGCAATATTTATATATTTGTGATATTTATATACTGCCTTCCTCAACCCCGAAGGGGACTCAGGGCAATTCATAGAATAACATTTGTCTTTCTTCCCTGCCTAGGAAGCAAGGTTTCCCGATGCAACAAAAGAGTACATTGAGGAACTCATACAGAACAAAAACTGCTGCGACTTAAACATGTAAGTATGGGAATCTTTGCGGTACAATCACAAAGTAGTGTTAATGAGGCTTAAAAATAGGTGAATGAACAAAGAGAGGAGGCGGCCCCCTTCGCTCTCCTCTAGTAGAGATAGAGGCAACGTTCGGAAATTTGAGGTTTGATGCATACTGTATTTATTCCATTCTAAGACTCACTTTTCCCCCTATCTCTGCACATGGGGTGCATCTTAGAATGTATTTTATGGAGATGTATTTTATGTATTTTTGTTGTTGGAGATGGTGTTGAAATTAGGGTGCGACTTACAATTTATTTATTTATTTATCGTGTCATCAGCAACCATACCATTGTATTACATTTCTAACAGAAGAAAACAAACACACAGATTAAAAAACACAAATTTTGCAAACATGGTAATTGATTAAATGTCCTTTGACCAGTATCTGGCCACTTGGAGTGCCTCTGGTGTTGCTGCAAGAAGGTCCTCCATCGTGCATGTGGCAGGGCTCAGGTTGCATTGCAGCAGGTGGTCAGTGGTTGGCTCTTCTCCACAATCGCATGTCGTGGATTCCACTTTGTGGCCCCATTTCTGAAGGTTGGCTCTACATCTCGTGGTGCCAGAGCGCAGTCTGTTCAGCGCCTTCCAAGTTGCCTAGTCCTCTGTGTGCCCAGGGGGGAGTCTCTCATCTGGTATCACCCACAGATTGAGGTGCTGGGTTTGAGCCTGCCACTTTTGGACTCTCGCTTGCTGAGGGGTTCCAGCGAGTGTCTCTGTACATCTAAGAAAACTATTTCTTGATTTAAGTCGTTGACGTGCTGGCTGATACCCAAACAAGGGATGAGGTGGAGATGTCTCTGCCTTGGCCCTTTCACTATTGGCTGCCACTTCCCAGCGGATGTCAGGTGGTGCAATACCGGCTAAGTGTAGTTTCCCCCATGGTGTAGGGCGCAGACACCCCGTGATAATGCGGCATGTCTCATTAAGAGCCACATCCACTGTTTTAGTGTGGTGAGATGTGTTCCACACTGGGCATGCGTACTCAGCAGCAGAGTAGCACAGCGCAAGGGCAGATGTCTTCACTGTTCTGGTTGTGATCCCCAGGTTGTGCCAGTCAGCTTTCGTATGATATTGTTTCTAGCACCCACTTTTTGCTTGATGTTCAGGCAGTGCTTCTTGTAGGTCAGAGCACGGTCCAGAGTGACTCCCAGGTATTTGGGTGCGCTGCAATGCTCCAGTGGGATTCCTTCCCAGGTCATAATCCTCAGAGCTCAGGATGCTTGTCTGTTCTTGAGATGAAAAGCACATGTCTGTGTTTTAGATGGGTTAGGGATCAGCTGGTTTTCCCTGTAGTAGGCAGTAAGAGCACCTAGAGCTTCGGAGAGCTTCTGTTCAACCATCTCAAAGCTCCCTGCTTGAGCAGTAATGGCACGATCATCAGCATAGATTAAACTCTCTGTCCCTTCTGGCAGTAGCTGATCATTTGTGTACATGTTAAACATTGATGGAGCAAGCACGCTCCCCTGAGGCAGGCCATTCTTCTGGTTTCGCCATCTGCTTCTCTGGCCCTGGAACTCAACAAAAAAGCTCCTTACAATTGATGACATCCTACCTTTGAAGAAATAAGATAATCCTACCCCCCCCCCCCGCCCCCCGTAACATAGATAGCAACGACCCATCACTTGGACACATGGTGTCTGTGGGCCATTTATTTAGCCTTACAATAGAACACAGATTCTTCAGTGGTCTGAAGGTCAACTGGATGAGGGCAGGGTTTTGTAATCAGTGTGTCGCCCCTCCAGGCCTGAAGCCACCTATGACCATAGCATCCCACAAGATTCCAGAGTAGAAGCAAACAGGTTATTGCAAAACACACACACATATATAGTTTTTTTTTTTTGTTGTGTCAGGAGTTACTTGAGAAACTGCAAGTCGCTTCTGGTGTGAGAGAATGGGCCGTCTGCAAGGATGTTGCCCAGGGGACGCCCGGATGATTTGATGTTTATAGTAAAAATATATAATTTAAAAAGTAGGAATAATGAAACAAGGTGTAGAATCCAAAAGGTCAGCATTCAGTTGTCTCTTATAGATCCAAAAGCAACACAGTCCAAAAATAATCCCAAAATCCAAAGGCAGCTTAAGTCCATAAGCAAAACTTGAACAAGAATACAAAACAAGAACATGAAGAACTTCCAGAATATTTAAATCCAAAACCAAGACTTGAAACAAGAACTAGAGAACCCAGGCCTAGCTATACTTGAAAGCCACGTTACCCGTGTCCAGACAAGGGCGACTAAAATGATCAAGGGTCTGGAGAACAAGCCCTATGAGGAGCGGCTTAAGGAGCTGGGCATGTTTAGCCTGAAGAAGAGAAGGCTGAGAGGGGATATGATAGCCATGTAAAAATATGTGAGAGGAAGCCACAGGGAGGAGGGAGCAAGCTTGTTTTCTGCTTCCTTGGAAACTAGGACGCAATGGAACAATGGCTTCAAACTACAAGAGAGGAGATTCCATCTGAACATGAGGAAGAACTTCCTGGCTCTGAGAGCCGTTCAGCAGTGGAACTCTCTGCCCCGGAGTGTGGTGGAGGCTCCTTCTTTGGAGGCTTTTAAAAAATGGGCTGGATGGCCATCTGTTAGGGGTGCTTTGAATGCAATATTCCTGCTTCTTGGCAGAATGGGGTTGGACTGGATGGCCCAGGAGGTCTCTTCCAACTCTTTGATTCTAGGATTCTATACCTGAACTGAAAGCAGAGTGCCCGTGAGCTCCTAATAAACAGACATGAAAGCATTACGTCTGCCTTGGAATTTCTGCTTCCCGTGAAGGTTTTTTCTGTGCTTTTTAATTGTGGAATATTTTGGATTTTGGGAGAAGGCAGGCACCCCCCCCCACCCCAACATGTAACACCATATATTTGTACGTGCCAGTGGTTCCCAACCTGTGGTCTGTGGACCATCAGTGGTCCACAAAAACTAAAAGATGGTCCACAGCCTCACTGTTACTACACCATTGCAACAAGAGCGACTGGTCTCACACAACCTTCTTATAGTGCCAAGGCTTATTAAATACGGTTTTCTGTGAGCGACTACTGGGTGGCACATGTTCTGTATCAGAAACTAGAGCTGATGTGGTCTATCCAATGCAATTTTCTGAATCAGCACCCCAAATAACCAAACCAAATCTAAAGTTGACCAAACCCCTTTTAGTACTAATGTTGATGTGTGGTCCTTGGTCAGAGTGGTCCCTGATCAAGTGGTTTCTGGTTAAGCGCTCCCTGGTCAAAGTAGTCCCTGGTTGAGTGGTTCCTAGTCAAAGTGGTCCCTGGTCAAAGTGGTCTCTGGTTAAGTGGGCCTTAGTCAAAGTGGTCCCTAGTCAAAGTGATCCCTGGTTAAGTGCTCCCTGGTCAAAGTGATCCCTGGTCAAGTGGTCCTTGGTCAAAATCATCCCTAGTCAAAGTGTTCCCTGGTTAAGTGGTCTCCGGTTAAGTGCACCCTGGTCAAGTGGTCTCTGGTCAAAGTAGTCCCTGGTTAAGTGGTCCCTAGCAAAAGTGGTCCCTTGTTAAGTGGTTCCTAGTCAAAGTGCTCCCTGGTCAAAGTGATCCTTGATCAAGTGGGCCCTGGTCAAGTGAGCCCTAGTCAAAATGGTCTCTGGTTAAGTGCACCCTGCTCAAAGTGGTCCCTGGCCAAAGTGGTCCCTGGTCAAGTGGTCCCTGGTCAAAGTGGTCTCTGGTCAAGTGGTCCCCAGTCATAGTGGTCCCTGGTCAAAGTGGTCCCTGGTAAAGTGGTTCCTAGTTAAAGTAGTCCCTTGTTAAGTGGCCCCTAGTCAAAGTGGTCCCTGGTCAAGTGGTCCCTGGTCAAAGTGGTCTCTGGTCAAGTGGTCCCCAGTCATAGTGGTCCCTGGTCAAGTGGTCCCTGGTAAAGTGGTTCCTAGTTAAAGTAGTCCCTTGTTAAGTGGCCCCTAGTCAAAGTGGTCTCTAGCCAAGTGGGCCCTAGTCAAAGTTGTCCCTAGTTAAGTGATCCCTGGTCATGTGGGCCCTGGTCAAGTGGGCCCTAGTCAAAGTGGTCCCTGGTCAGTGGACCCTGGTCAAAGTGCTCCCTGGTTAAGTGTTCCCTGGTCAAGTGGTCTCTGGTTAAGTGCACCCTGGTCAAAGTGGTCCCTGGCCAAAGTGGTCCATGTTCAAGTGGTCTCTGGTCAAAGTAATCCCTGGTTAAGTGGTCCCTGGCCAAAATGGTCCATTGTTAAGTGGTCCCTGGTCAAAGTGATCTCTGGTGAAGTGGGCCTTGCTCAAAGTGGGCTCTGGTCAAAGTTGTAGTAGTAGTAGTAATAATAATAATAATAATAATAATAATCTTTATTTATACCCCACCACCATCTCCCCAATGGGGACTCGGAGCGGCTTACATGAGGCCAAGCCCAGACAACAATTACATAAAATAAAACCGAAAACGCAAACAATAAACAACAGCAACGTAACTCTGCCAGCGGTGGCCCTTTCCAAATAACCGTTCCTCTTTTCCTTTGCAGACTTTGTAATTTTCTGTTGGAAAACCCAGATTATCCAAAGAAGGAAGGCAGAGTGATGTTGAATCCAAACAGCAGCCTGCTCTCCAGCCAAGATGAGACAAAGGCGAGTGAGACACGCTAATTTATGCGCCCTCCTTCACATTCAGTAATACTTATCAGTGTTAGTTTTGTTCTGTTTTTAATCCAGCTTAAGAGCTTTGTAGTGTGAGAAAGTGGGGGCTTTATAATTGAATTTTGTACTCCTGGCTTGACTGCATCTCCATATTTTGCTGTGTAATTACCGCTTTCTTGTAATGGAAGTTGAAGACCTTTATGAATTTTTTGTGGTTGGTTCAAACTGTTGAGAACCAGTGTTGTCTAATGGTTAGAGCAGGCATGGGCAAACTTGGGCCCTCCAGATGTTTTGGACTTCAAATCCCACAATTCGGCTGTTAGGAATTGTGGGAGTTGAAGTCCAAAACATCTGGAGGGCCCAGGTTTGCCCATGCCTGGGTTAGACAACTCCAGAAACCAGGGTTAGATTCCCCATTTGGTCATAGAAACTCAGTTGAGTGATTTGGGGAAGGTCACATTCTCTCAGCCCCACAAAAACCCTGTGATGGGTTCACCTTTGGGTCGCCATAAGTTGGAATCAACTTGAAGGCACAAAACAATAGCAAAAATTGTCTGAGAATCGGCTGACTTTCTCCTCTCCCTCCCCACCTTGCCCTTGCAACCCTTCCCATCCCTTTTAGGTGCCTAAAGTGGACTACTTTGATTTCTCCAAGCTCGATCTGCTCGATCAGCGCTGCTTTATCCAAGCGGCGGACCTCCTCATGGCGGACTTCAAAATGCTGAGCAGTCAGGATATCAAGTGGGCGCTGCACGAACTCAAGGGACACTATGCAATCACACGAAAGGTGGGTTCCTCCCTCTCTGCCCCTTGAATCCAGCTCAGTTCGGTTTGATTCAGTGTTCGGGAAAAGAGAGACCTCTGTACATGTCCCTGAGGATACTTGCCACACATGCAGGTGAAGCGTCAGGAGAGAATGCTACTGGAACATCTATATAAATAAAAATGTATTGTTCGTTTGTGGGATGAACATCACTCAAAAAACACTGGACGAATGGACACCAAATTCGGACACAAGACACCTCTCAGGCCAACGAGTGACCATCACTCATAAAAACACCGAAAAACACAGGAGAAGAGACTTTAAAAGCCTATCTATCTATCTATCTATCTATCTATCTATCTATCTATCTATCTATCTATACACACACACACATTACAACGCATGCGCAAAACCACACATATATACACAAACACACACATACACTCACACCTATATGCATATACCTATACAAAACACATACACAGAAAGGAGGAAGAAGGGAAGGAGAGAAGGAAGGAAAGAAAGAAGGGTAGAGAAGGAAGGAAGGAGAGAAGAGGGAGAGAAAGAGGGAAGGAAATAAAGAAGGAAAGAAAGAAGGGTAGAGAAGGAGGGAGAGAAAGAGGGAAAGAAGGAGGGAAGGAGAGAAGGAAAGAAAGAAAGGTAGAGAAGGAAGGAAGGAGAGAAGGAGGGAGAAAAGAAGGGGATAAAGAAGGAAAGAAAGGTAGAGAAGGAAGGAAGGAGAGAAGGAAGGAAAGCAAGAAGGGTAGAGAAGGAAGGAAGGAAGGAGAGAAGGAGGGAGAGAAGGAGGGAAGGAGATAAAGAAGGGTAGAGAAGGAGGGAGAGAAAGAGGGAAAGAAGGAGGGAAGGAGAGAAGGAAAGAAAGAAAGGCAGAGAAGGAAAGGAAAGAGAGAAGGAGGGAGAGAAAGGGAAGGAGGGGAGATAAAGAAGGAAAGAAAGGTAGAGAAGGAAGGAAGGAGAGAAGGAAGGAAAGCAAGAAGGGTAGAGAAGGAAGGAAAGAAGGAGAGAAGGAGGGAAAGAAGGAGGGAAGGAGATAAAGAAGGAAAGAAAGAAGGGTAGAGAAGGAAGGAAGGAGAGAAGGAAGGAGAGAATGAAATAAGTGAAAGAGGGAAGGAAGGAAAGAAGGAACGAAAGAGAGAAAGAGGGAGGGAAGGAAGGAAGGAAAGAGACAAGGAAGAATGGAACCAAAGAGCAACGGAAGCGAGAAAAGAAACCGGTAGAGAAGGAAGAAAGAAGAAGGGAAAGAAAAAGGAAGGGAAGGAAGGAGAGAAAGAAAGAAGGAGAGAAAGAGGGAGGGAAGGGTGGCCACAGCAATGCGTGGCAGGTACAGCTAGTCTATATAAATAAAAATGTAATGTTCGTTTGTGGGATTAACAGAACTCAAAAACCACTGACAAATTGCCACCAAATTTGGACAAAATACACCTATCAGGCCAATGAGTGACCATCACTCATAAAAACACCGAAAAACACAACAGAAGGGACTTCAAAAGCCCAAAAAGCAAAAAGACGCTACAGCCCATGCACAAAAACAACTCCCCCTGGCAAGCAAAAAACACCATAGTATATCCACACTCTCTTCCGGACTACAACTCCCAGCATCCCCTAGACCAGGCCCTTTAGGAGAGGAGGATGCTCCAAATGCACAGCTTCCAAGCTGAAAGCTTTCTTCTCCTTGGATTTCTTTGAGAGCATCCCAATCCCTGCGTATTTCCAACTTCTTATTCCTGGACTGCAACTCCCAGCAATCCTCCAGATAGATTATAGATAGATTAAATAGATAGATGGATTAGATAGAGATAGGTAAATGCACTTTACTATGGATCTAGGAATGTCTGCATGCCCCATCCCTCTGAAAACTCTATCCTAGTTCATATTTCATCTGTTCATGCTCAGCATTATCTTTAAGTTTTAATTATTACATTTGGCCCAGCCATAGTTTCTAATTGTCGTTGCGTTAGTGTTAATGTTTATAGCTTATTTTTGTTATGAGTTTTACTTTATTGTTTGGTATTATTTGTTGTTATTGCTTTATTATTGATGTATTGTGGGCTTGGCCTCATGTAAGCCGCACCGAGTCCCTTGGGAGATGGTAGCAGGGTATAAATAAAGATTATTATTATTATTATTATTATTATTATTATTATTATATTAATTATACAGTTTAAATCCAACATGTAAAATGTTGGGAGGGTATGCCTTACAAAGGAGAAGAAGAAGGAGGGAGAAGGAAATGAAGGGGAAGGAAATAAAGAAGGGGAGAAGAAAGGGAAGAGGAAGAGAAGGAAGGAACAAGAAAAAGGAAGGAAGGAAGGAAGGAAGGAAGGAAGGAAGGAAGGAAGGAAGGAAGGGAGGAAGGAGAGAAAGAAAGGACGAGAGAAAGAGGGAGAAAAGGTTGGTCACAGCAACGTAGTAAAGGTAAAGGTAGTCCCCTGACATTAAGTCCAGTCATGTCTGACTCTGGGGTGTGGTGCTCATCTCCATTTCTAAGCCGAAGAGCCAGCGTTGTCCGTAGACACCTCCAAGGTCATGTGGCCGGCATGACTGCATGGAGCGCTTACCTTCCCGCCGGAGCGGTACCTATTGATCTACTCACATTTGCATGTTTTCGAACTGCTAGGTTGGCAGAAGCTAGGGCTGACAGCGGAAGCTCACGCCGCTCCCCGGCATCGAACCTGTGACCTTTCGATCAACAAGCTCAGCAGCTCAGTGCTTTAACCCACTGCGCCACTGGGGGCTCCTCACAGCAACGTACAACTAGTAATAATAATAAATGATTATTATTTATCGTGTCATCAGCAGCCATACCATTGTATTACATTTCTAACAGAACAAAACAAACAAACAGATAAAAAAGCACAAATTTTGCAAACTTGGTAGTTGATTAGATGTCCTTTGACCAGTCTCTGTCCCCTTGGAGTGCCTCTGGTGTTGCTGCAAGGAGGTCCTCCATCGTGCATGTGGCAGGGCTCAGGTTGCATCGCAGCAGGTGGTCAGTGGTTTGCTCTTCTCCACACTCGCATGTAGTGGATTCCACTTTGTGGCCCCATTTCTGAAGGTGGGCTCTGCATCTTGTGGTGCCAGAGTGTAGTCTGTTCAGCGCCTTCCAAGTCGGCCAGTCTTCTGTGTGCCCAGGGGGGAGTCTCTCATTTGGTATCATCCACGGATTGAGGTTCTGGGTTTGAGCCTGCCACTTTTGGACTCTCGCTTGCTGAGGTGTTCCAGCAAGTGTCTCTGTACATCTAAGAAAACTATTTCTTGATTTAAGTCGTTGACATGCTGGCTGATACCCAAACAGGGGATGAGCTGGAGATGTCTCTGCCTTGGTCCTTTCACTATTGGTTGCTACTTCCCGGCAGATGTCAGGTGGTGCAATACCAGCTAAACTGTAATTTCTCCAGGGGTGTAGGGCGCAAACACCCTGTGATAATGCGGCATGTCTCATTAAGAGCCACATCCACTGTTTTAGTGTGGTGAGATGTGTTCCACACTGGGCATGCGTACTCAGCAGCAGAATAGCATAGCGCAAGGGCAGATGTCTTCACTGTGTCTGGTTGTGATCCCCAGGTTGTGCCAGTCAGCTTTCGTTCTTCCTCATGTACAGGTGGAATCTCCTTTCTTTCCTGTAGTTCGAAGCCATGGTTCCATTGTTTCCTAGTCTCCAGGGCACGTCCCCCATTGTATATCTTTTCATTTCATTTTTTCGTCCTAAGTGGAGTATTAGACACACTTACGATCCAAAGAAAGGTTAAATCAAAACAAACAAATAAAAAAAGACAAATGACAACACAGAGAAGAAAAATAAATTCCAATAAACATAGTAATTATAACTCACAAACATCACCCATATCACTATAAAAGGTTACAACAATTAAGACATCTAGCATCACTAACATGGCCAAACAGCCCAGAAAACTCATAACAGACCATTACGGATCCTGTCTACCTATTGAACCTGAAGTCTTGGAAGTCTGTGTTAGACCAGGCCTGGGCAAACTTTGGCTCTCCAGGTGTTTTGGATTTTGGACTCCCACAATTCTTAACAGCCAGTAGGTGATAATAGTGTGTGTTCGCTTGCTTGAATTTTTTTTTTTGCTTTGTCTCTAGGCCTTTTCTGATGCCATCAAAAAATGGCAGGAGCTGTCTCCCGAAACCAGCGGCAAGCGGAAGCGAAGGAAAGAAATGAATCAGTATTCCTTCATAGACTTCAAATTTGAGCAAGGTGAGGAGTCACTATGTGGATAGTGTTTTTTTATTATTTATTTCTTTATTTACTTACAGTATTTATATTCCACCCTTCTCACCCCGCAGCGGACTCTGGGCAGATTACAGTGTACACATATACGGCAAACATTCAATGCCAAAGACACACAACAGATATAGACAGACAGTCAGAGGCTATTTAACTTTTCTGGCCGCCAGGCGAGCTGTCACTTTCATCATCCATCTGCGACACTGATGAAGTACTTCCGCATTCCCCGCATGCTTTGCTGGAGTCTTTTTTATGGCCTCATAAATTAGTTAAATTATCCTCCCCACACATAGGTGGTACCTAATTATCCTATTTGACAGATGCAACTGTCTTTCGGGTTGCAAAGGTCGACAACAAGCTACACAATTGGTTGGAAGCTCACTCCGATCCTGGCTGGCTTCGAACTCATGACCTTTCAGTCAGAAGTGATCTTAATGCAGCTGACAACCAGCCAGATGCGCTATAGTCCCGGTGCTATAGTGTTCCCTCGCTACTTTGTGGTTTGCTTTTCGTGGACTCGCTGTGGCGGAAGCGTTGCAGGGCTGAAGAAGCAACAAGGTGCCTCTTCTGCTGCTTCTGGACCAGCAGCAGCTGCAGCGCGATTGAGGAAGCGGCGGAGCAGTTGCAGGGCCCAAGCGGCGGCAAGAGGTCCAGGCTGCGATGAAGTGCCTTGTCCGCTGCTTCTGGAGCAGCAGCAGCCGCAGCGCAATTAAGGAGGTGGTGGAAGCGTCGCAGGGCTGAAGAGGCGACAAGGTGCCTCTTCTGCAGCTTCTGGACCAGCAACAGCCACGGCGCGATTGAGGAGGCAGCGGAGCCGTTGCGTTGAAGTGCCTCCTCTGCTGCTTCTGGAGCAGCAACAGCCGCCGCAGCACAATTCAGGAGGCAGCGGAAGCATCGCAGGGCCGAAGCGGCGACAGGGTGCCTCTTCTGCTGCTTCTGGACCAGCAGCAGCCGTGTCGCGATTGAGGAGGCAGTGGAGGCGTTGCGAGGCCCAAGTAGTGGTAAGAGGTTCAGGCGGCGACAAGGTGCCTCTTCCATTGCTTCCGGAGCAGCAGCAACCGCAGCGCAATTGAGGAGGCAGCGGAAGTGTCGCAGGGCCCAAGTGACGACGACAAGGTGCCTCTTCTGCTGCTTATGGACCAGCTGCAGCAGCCGCGGCGCAATTGAGGAAGCGGCGGAGCCATTGCAGAGCCCAAGCGGCGGCAAGAGGTCCAGGCTGCGATGAGGTGCCTTCTCCGCTGCTTCTGGGGCAGCAGCAGCCGCATCGCAATTCAGGAGGCAGCGGAAGCATTGCAGGGCCCAAGCGGTGACAAGGTACCTCTTCTGCTGCTTCTGAACCAGCAGCAGCCGTGGCACAATTGAGGAAGCGGCAGAGGCGTTGCAGGGCCCAAGCAACGGCAAAAGATCCAGGCGGCAATAATAATAATAATAATAATAATAATAATCTTTATTTATTACCCTGGCACCATCTCCCCAATGGTGACTCGGAGCAGCTTACATGAGGCCAAGCCCAAATGACAATTACAATAAAGCAAACCAAAAACACAAACCGAAAATGCGAACAATAAACAATAACATCATAGTTACACAAAATATATGAATACGTAACAATATAAAAAATAAGAAATACACACAGGCTCAATGATGTGCTTCCTCGGCCGCTTCTGGAGCAGCCACAGCATCTGGGCCGGGCCTGTTGGCGGGAAGAGAAGCGCCGAGGAGGAAGGTAAAGAGGGAGAGGAGGGAAGAAAAGCTGCCCCCGGAGAGAAGAAGAAGAGCCAGGGAGGGGGCTTCCCTACTTTGCGGAATTTCACTTATCGCGGGTGGTGCTGAATGTAACACCTGCGATAAGTGAGGGAACACTGTATACACATAATAAAAGTGAAAATATGTATGCGCATTTCTGGCTGGGCTGCCCACTTACACATATAACCTCCTGCCTACCAATGACAGCCATAACTTCCTCTTCTCCGTCGTGGTCCCTGTGAATCGCACATATGGCCCCAGTGTTAGAATCTAATAAGCGTTTGCTTTGCCAAGGTTGCAGTTTTGTATGCAACTTGTGCTTCCCTCCTCCCTCTCTCCTTCCTCATTAAAAGGAGTGTTTGTATTAACCTGCCAGCCATTCTTTGCAATAACGTTTTAGGAGATATGAAAATCGAGAAGCGCATGTTCTTCTTGGAGAACAAGAGGCGGCACTTCAGGAGCTACGACCCCCTCACGCTCCTCCCGGCCGTGCAGATGGAACGGGAGTTTTACGAGCAGAAAATCAAAGAAATGGCAGAGGTGAGTGGGAAGTAAGGCCTTATTCCTAGGTTTTGAAGCTTTTGTGGCAATTGAGGCTGAGTGAATTGTGTTTCTCCTTAGATCAGTGTCTCTCAACCTTCCTAATGCCACGACCATTTAATGCAGTTCCTCATGTCGTGGTGACCCACAACGATATGTAGGATATACTTCCATTCACTGGACCAAATTTGGCACAAATACCTGATATGCCCAAATTTAAATACTGATGGATCTGGACCGAACTTGGCACAAAACCTCAATATGCCCAAATGTAAAAACTAGTGGAGATTGGGGGAAATAGACTTGGCATTTGAGAGTTGTTGTTTGTGTGATTTATAATTCACCTACAATCAAAGAATATTTTGAGCTCCACCAGCAATGGAATTGAACCAAACATGGCACACAGAACTCCCATGACCAACAAAAAATACTGGAAAGGTTTGGTGGGCATTGACTTTGACTTTGGGAGTTCTAGTTCACCTGCCTCCAGAGCCCGTGTGGGCTCAAACAATGATATTTCTGGACCAAACTTGGCACAAATCCTCAATATGCCCAAATCTGAAAACTGGTGGAGTTTGGGGGAAATAGACTTGGCATTTGGGAGTTGTAATTGCTGGGATTTATAGTTCACCTACAATCAAAGAATATTCTGAGCTCCACCAGTGATGGAATTGAACCAAACTTGGCACACAGAACTCCCATGACCAACAGAAAATAAGGGAAGGGTTTGGTGGGCATTGACCTTGAGTTTGGCAGCTGTAGTTCACCTCCATCCAGAGAGCACTGTGGACTCAAACAATGATGGATCTGGACCAAACTTTGCAGTTACTCAATATGGCCAAATGTGAAAACTGGTGGAGTTTGGGGGAAATAGACTTGGCATTTAGGAGTTGTAGTTGCTGGGATTTATAGTTCACCTACAATCAAAGAGAATTCCGAACCCCACCAGTGATAGAATTGGGCTAAACTTCCCACAGAACCCCCATGACCAACAGAAAATCGTGCGTTTTCTGATGGTCTTTGGCTACCCTTCTGATACCCCCTCATGACCACCCCAGGAGGCCTGACCCCCCAGGTTGAGAAACACTGCATTAGGTGCTTTCAGAGAAAGAAGTAGACACAGAGACCCATTACTGGTTTTATCAGAGCTATACTGGTTACACAGACAAAAGGGTGAACATTCACATTTACTCAGCATTCACTCTACATACATTCATTTACGTTCATACTCACCACCTTCTTCATTCAGGTCATTTTGGAAGGAGGCGGTGGGTGGACAGGCTCAGCATTCCTGACAGATCTGCCACACTTTTCAAAGAAAAAAAGGGTCTCTTTGTGTAGCAGTCTGGATTGATTGACAACTTCTTATTCAGCTAAAACTTGTGGACGCGCCAGCAATTCCAATTGTTTTTCTTCCATTAACATAAGGAACCATTGTTTTTTACTTCCTTAACTTAAAGAATGTAACCATGTAAACATATCCTGTTTACACCAAAAAACTTCCCAGGTCAGATATTGTCAGTTCAAAAATTTTAATGCCACTGTCAATCTTTGCCTCCTCTGTAATGTCAATTTTGGCCCCAATTTTCATAGTTTTTTCCTATCTTCAGTCTTGCCAAGCCAATGGAACGGTTGAGGAATTGAACAAGAAGACATAGTTTTTATAATTTTTATTGTTTATTGCTTTTATGGTTTTTGAATGTATTGTGCTGTGATTTTTTGCCTTTAACCGATGTATATATTTTTATATATGGCATCTAATTGTTACCGATTTGTACACCGCCCTGAGTTGCCTTTGGGTTGATATGGGCGGGATAAAAGTGACGTAAATTGTCTTGTGGGGTTCCTCAGGGCTCAATATTGTCTCCCATGTTGTTTAACATCTACATGAAGCCGCTGGGGGAGATCATCCGGAGTTTCGGGGTCGGTGTCATCTGTACGCTGGTGATGTCCAACTCTGTCAATCCTTTCCACCTGCTACTAAGGAGGCTGTTCAGGTCCTGAACCACGGTCTGGATGAGGGCGAACAAATTGAAATTGAATCCAGACAAGACAGAGGTCCTCCTGGTCAGTCGCAAGGCCGAACAGGGCATAGGGTTACAGCCTGTGTTGGATGGAAGGGGCCGCACTCCCCCTGAAGACGCAGGTTCGCAGCTTGGGTGTGACCCTGGACTCATCGCTGAGCCTGGAACCCCAGGTTTCGGCGGTGACCAGGGGAGCATTTGCACAGCTAAAGCTTGTGCGCCAGCTGCGCCCGTACCTTGGGAAGTCTGACTTGGCCACGATAGTCCACGCTCTGGTTACATCCCGTTTAGACTACTGCAACGCTCTCTACGTGGGGTTGCCTTTGAAGACAGCTCGGAAGCTCCAACTAGTCCAACGCTCGGCAGCCATGATTTTAACAGGAGTGGAGCGCAGGGAGCATACAACCCCCCTGTTGCGCCAACTCCACTGGCTACCGATCTGCTACCGGGCTGAATTCAAAGTGCTGGCGTTGGCCTTTAAAGCCCTAAACGGTTCCGGCCCAAGTTACCTATCTGACTGCATCTCTGCCTATGAACCCACCAGAGCTTTGAGATTTTCCGGGGAGGCCCTGCTCTTGATCCTTCCTGCTTCTCAAGCACGGCTGGCGGGGACGAGAGATAGGGCCTTCTCGGTGGTGGCCTCTCGGCTGTGGAACGCCCTTCCTACGGACATTAGACTAGCACCATCTCTAATGGTATTCCGCAAAAAGGTGAAGACCTGGATGTTTGTGCAGGCGTTTGAGTAATTTAGTGCAATCTGGTAATGGAACATAGGAATGGAACAATGGACGACGAATCTGGACTACTTGGATGATGAGAAGATTGGGTACGGTTGTTTTTTGTAATAATTGTGCATTGTAATTGCTTATTGGTAATTTATGGATAATGTGTTAAGTCAATTGTTATATGTTGTATGGAACCACTGCTGTTTCTACTGTTTTTACTGTTTGTGAACCGCTGTGAGTCGCCTTCGGGCTTGGGATACAGCGGTATATAAGCAAAGTAAATAAATAAATAAATAAATAAATAAATAAAATCAATTAATAGGCCCTTAGCCAGACGTCAATCACAATTTCATTCATCCATCTACTCATGACACTGGTTTTCTCCTATCAGCTCTCTCTTTTGAGGTACAGAACATAGGCCATCTACCCCTCTTCATCTGCACATTCCTACAGAATCATGACAAGCATATGTAAGAAACTAGAACTGATGTGGTTTATCCAGTGCAGTTCTCTGAAACATTGCCCCAAATAACCCCAGGAACAGACCTGAAAACCAAAAACTGTGTGTAATGAAGGTCTGAAGGTTCATAGTTGGACCATCTTCTCTCGTTTCAGCACGCTGACTTCCTCCTTGCCCTGCAGATGAATGAAGAACAGTATCAAAAAGTAAGTTGTTTGGTTTCAGAAGCAGAAACTTCCATTTCAAACTTTGATAGAAAACAACATTTTCCTGATTTAAGAGGAGGAGCAGAGGGAGGGTGGCCTCATTAATCATTTAGCACAGCTGGCAAATCATCAGCAATTATTTATTTATCGTGTCAGGGGCAACCAGACCATTGTATTACATTTCTAACAGAACAAAACAAACAAACAGATAAAAAAACCACAAAGTTTGCAAGCTTGGTAGTTGATTAAATGTCCTTTGACCAGTATCTGGCCACTTGGAGTGCCTCTGGTGTTGCCACAAGAAGGTCGTCCCTTGTGCATGTGGCAGGGCTCAGGTTGCATTGCAGCAGGTGGTCAGTGGTTTGCTCTTCTCCACACTCGCATGTCGTGGATTCTACTTTGTGGCCCCATTTCTTGAGGTTGGCTCTGCATCTCGTGGTGCCAGAGCGCAGTCTGTTCAGCGCCTTCCAAGTCGCCCAGTCTTCTGTGTGCCCAGGGGGGAGTCTCTCATTTGGTATCAGCCATTGATTGAGGTTCTGGGTTTGAGGCTGCCACTTTTGGACTCTCGCTTGCTGGGGTGTTCCAGCAAGTGCCTCTGTAGATCTTAGAAAACTATTTCTTGATTAGTTTTCAGAGGTGCTTGCATTTTAGCAGTCTCATCCTTGTTGTGGGTAGACAGCCATCACGATATCTCTGCAGATCTTAGAAAATTCTTGATTTAAGTCGTTGACGTGCTGGCTGATACCCAAACAGGTGATGAGCTGGAGATGTCGCTGCCTTGGTCCTTTCACTATTGGCTGCTACTTCCCGGCGGATGTCAGGTGGTACAATGCCGGCTAAGCAGTGTAATTTCTCCAGTGGTGTAGGGCGCAGACACCCCGTGATAATGCGGCATGTCTCATTAAGAGCCACATCCACTGTTTTAGTGTGGTGAGATGTGTTCCACACTGGGCATGCGTACTCAGCAGCAGAGTAGCATAGCGCAAGGGCAGATGTCTTCACTGCGTCTGGTTGTGATCCCCAGGTTGTGCCAGTCAGCTTTCGTATGATATTGTTTCTAGCACCCACTTTTTGCTTGATGTTCAGGCAGTGCTTCTTGTAGGTCAGAGCACAGTCCAGAGTGACTCCCAGGTATTTGGGTGTGCTGCAATGCTCCAGTGGGATTCCTTCCCAGGAAATCCTCAGAGCTCAGGATGCTTGTCTGTTCTTAAGGTGAAAGGCACATGTCTGATCAGCAATTATAAGATCTATTAACCAAAAGGTTGCAAGTTCGAAGCCCCGGGTTGGCATGAGCTGCCAACTGTCAGCCTAGCTCATTGTTTACCTAAGCAATTCGAAAACACCTTTAGCTGTGATTAGAGAAATTAGGTACCGCTAAAAGCGGAGGAGGTGTTTTACGACGCCATAAAGAAAAAAGATCAGAAAATGCTGGCCGACCAAAAGGAAGGAGAAAGTCCTGACGGCTCTTCGTCATAGAGGATGGAGCAACAGCACCCCCTGGACTCGAGCCCACTGTTTCTAAACAGTGTCCAGCTATTTTTGGTGCCATGGAAGCATGGCACCAAAAATAGCTGGACACTGTTTAGAAACAAACCACCTCCTTGTGTTGTCTGTCTGTCTGTGTATTGTCTATACAAAGAGGCAGTATGTGTACTGTGATATTCCCTGAGTCCCCTTTGAGGTGAAAAGGGCGGAATAAAAATAAAGTATTATTATTATTATTGACACAAAAGCACAGTATATCACAGCAAACGAGATCTATATGCTGGATTTCGTATCACAAAATCACAAGTCAAACACTTCCCAAAGCGTCTAGGACCGTGTGATGTATTATTATTATTATTATTATTATTGACCCAAAAGCTCAGTATGTCACAGCAAACGAGATCTATATGCTGGATTTCGTATCACAAAATCACAAGTCGAACCCTTCCCAAAGCGTCTAGGACCGTGTGATGTATTATTATTATTATTATTATTATTATTATTATTATTATTATTGACCCAAAAGCTCAGTATATCACAGCAAACGAGATCTATATGCTGGATTTCGTATCATAAAATCACAAGTTGAACACTTCCTAAAGCGTCTAGGACCGTGTGATGTATTATTATTACTATTATTATTATTATTGACACAAAAGCTCAGTATGTCACAGCAAACGAGATCTATATGCTGGATTTCGTATCACAAAATCACAAGTCGAACCCTTCCCAAAGCGTCTAGGACCGTGTGATGTATTATTATTATTATTATTATTATTATTATTATTATTATTGACCCAAAAGCTCAGTATGTCACAGCAAACGAGATCTATATGCTGGATTTCGTATCACAAAATCACAAGTCGAACCTTTCCCAAGCGTCTAGGACTGTGTGATGTATTTCCGAAAGATGCACGCAGATCTGTCAGGTGACCTTTTGCAGTTGACAGATTGGGATTTTGTCGATGTTTATTGTTTCCAAATGCCGGTTGAGATCTTTTGGCATGGCACCCAGGGTGCCAATGACAACTGGGACCACCTGGACTGGTTGATGCCAGAGCCTTTGCAGTTCGATTTTGAGGTCTTGATAGCGGCTGAGTTTTTCCTGTTGTTTTTCCTCAATGCGACTGTCACCTGGAATGGCGACATCAATCATCCAGACTTTTTTCTTTTCCACAATTGTGATGTCTGGTGTATTGTGTTCCAAAACTTTGTCAGTCTGGATTTGAAAGTCCCACAGTATTTTTGCATGTTCATTTTCCACGACGTTTGCAGATTTATGATCCCACCAATTCTTTGCTGCTGGCAGGTGGTCCTTGTGACATAAGTTCCAGTGAATCACCTGGGCCACAGAGTTGTGCCTCTGTTTGTAGTCCGTCTGTGCGATTTTCTTGCAGCAGCCGAGGAGATCGTCCATGGTTTCATCCGCTTCCTTGCACATTCTGCATTTTGTGTCATCCGCTGATTTTTCGATCCTGGCCTGAATTGTATTGGTTCTGATGGCTTGCTCCTGGGCTGCAAGAATCAGGCCTTCTTCTGTCTTCTTCTTCAGGGTTCCATTTGTGATTAGCCATAACCAGATCTTCTCCTTGTCAACTTTTCCTTCAATCTTCTCAAGGAACTGCCCATGCAAAGCTTTGTTGTGCCAGCTCTCAGCTCTGGTTTGGAGTGCAGTTTTCTTGTACTGACTCTTTGTTGATTATTGTTGTTGTTGTTGTTGTTGTTGTTGTTGTTGTTCATGATTGAACTTGTCAAGTTTGACAGCCCAGTCAAGTTTGACAGCCCAGCCTCTGGTAAACTTGTCAAGTTTACCAGAGATGACCTGGTAATCTCTGAAAATTTTGGACGACAAGGCCCTTAAAATTATTGTTGTTGTTGTTGTTCGTGATTGAACTTGTCAAGTTTGACAGCCCAGTGATAGATGACCTGGTAATCTCTGGATGACAAGGTAATCTCTTTTGGATGACAAGGCCCTTCCAGCACAGCCATTAAGCATCGGGTTGCCTACTTTTGGTTTCACAGAGGATAAAAATATCCCAAACTGAGAACAAAACGTGGAAGTGACCATAATTCCATAGTTTTGGAAAATGGGCATGTTTTGGTGTTAAACAATGTCTGGGTGAGGGAGTGCACCCTTTTTTGGCCTGCTTTGTGCCCTGGAAGACCATAAATGTGATATGTACTGTTGAAGGCTTTCATGGCTGGAATCACTGGGTTGTTGTAGGTTTTTCCGGGCTATATGGCCATGTTTCGCCTGCATCTATGGCAAGCATCCTCAGAGGTAGAGAGGTCTGTTGGGAGTAGGAAAATGGGTTTATATATCTGTGGAATGACCAGGGTGGGACAAAAGACTCTTGTCTGCTGGAGCTAGGTGTGAATGTTTCAACTGACCACCTTAATTAGCATTTGATGGCTTGGCAGTCCCTGGGGGAATCTTTTGTTGAGAGGTGATTAGAGGTCCTTGTTTGTTTCCTCTCTATTGTTTTGCTCTCTACTCTGAGGATGCTTGCCATAGGTGCAGGCAAAACGTCAGGAGAAAATGCCTCTAGAACATGACCATATATCCCGGGAAAACCTAAAACAACCCATAAGTGTGGTAAATCAACAAGAGTTGCATATGATTAAATGTTTTCTTCTTTATTCTTCAGTGATTGTATCATTGAAGAATGTTGAGAAATGCAATGATAAGAGATGGGTAAAAGTGATAACTTGGTGTCTAGACCAAGCATGGGCAAATGCCCTTGTTACGCCGGCTCCACTGGCTGCTTATCAGCCTCTGAGCATAATTCAAAGTGCTGGCCTTGGCCTATAAAGCCCTGAACGGTTCTGGCCCAGTTTACTTGTCGTATCTCCCACTACACTCCACCTAGGGCCTTAAGATCATCCGAGGAAATCCTGCTTGTTGTCCCCCCATTGTCGCAATCGCGTTTGGTGGGGACAAGGGACAGGGCCTTTTCTGTGGTGGCCCCTCAGCTATGGAACTCCCTCCCGAGTGAAATTAGATTGGCTGCATCCCTCTTGTCCTTCCAGAAACAAGTAAAATCTTGGCTATGAGATCAGGCTTTTGGAGAGTAGACTGACTTGCTCACGTGCTGACCTATATAGAACTGATGGACTGCCCTTGGATAATGCTTAAATTGGTGACCGCTGACTGTTTGTTGTCTGTTTTTATACTGTTTTCATATTGTTCATATGGTTTTATACTGTGTATACTGCTTATATTGCTGTTTTATTATATTGTTGTTAAATTGTATATTCATGTTTTGATGTGGGCGCCATGGGGTGCCGATTTGTTAGCCGTCCTGAGTCCCTCTGCAGAGGTTGAGATAGGACGGGATAGAAAAGCCCTAAATCTATATAAATAAAAATGTAATGTTCGTTTGTGGGATTAACAGAACTCAAAAACCACTGGACGAATTGATACTAAATTTGGACACAAGACACCTAACAACCCAATCTATGTCCTTCAATCAAAAAAATTGATTTTGTCATTTGGGAGTTGTAGTTGCTGGGATTCACCTACAATCAAAGAGCATTCTGAACCCCAACAATGATGGAATTGAACCAAACTTGGCACACAGTTCTCCAATGACCAACAGAAAATACTGGAAGGGTTTGGTGGGCAGTGTCCTTTGGTCTTGGAGTTGTAGTTCACCCACATTCAGAGATCACTGTGGACTCAAACAATGATGGATCCGGACCAAACTCTACAGGGATACTCAATATACCCAAATGTGAAAACTGGTGGAGTTTGGGGAAAATAGAATCTTGACATTTGGGAGTTGTAGTTGCTGGGATTTATAGTTCACCTGCAATCACAGAGCATTCCGAACCCCACCAACGATACAATTGGGCCAAACCTCCCACACAGAACCACCATGTGGGCCACAGCAACACGTGGCAGGGGACGGCTAGTAAACAAACAAATAGATAAATAACTTCGGCCCTCTAGGTGTTTTGGACTCCAACTCCCACAATTTCTAACAGCCTCGGGCCTTTTCCTTTTCCTCCTGCCTGTTATATCTTCAGAAGACAAACCAGATTGGATGGCCATCTGTCCGCCATGTTTTGATTGTGCTTTTCCTGCACGGCAGAAAGACGTTGGACTGGATGACCCGTGTGGTTTCTTCCAACTTGATGATTTTATGAAACATGCTTTGGACAAATAATTGATGTTTTCACTGGCAAAGTCCCAAAGAAAGGTCCATGCCTTGGTCACCTCTAGATTGGACTACTGCAATGCGCTCTACGTGGGGCTGCCCTTGAAAATGTCTCGGAAATTCCAACTGGTCCAATGGTCGGCAGCCAGGCTGTTAACTGGTGCTCCTTACAGAGAGAGATCAACCCTCCTGTTCAAGGAGCTCCATTGGCTGCTGTTCATCTTCCGGTCCCAATTCAAGGTGCAGGTGCTCACCTACAAAGCCCTAAACGGTTTGGGACCCGCCTACCTGCGTGACCGCATCTCCATATATGAACCCACACGCTCCCTTCGATCGTCTGGAGAGGCCCTGCTCACGATTCCACCTGCGTCGCAAACGCGTTTGGTGGGGATGAGGGACAGGGCCTTCTCTGTGGTGGCCCCCCGACTTCTCTGTGGTGGCCCCCCGAACTCTCTCCTCAAGGAAATCAGACAAGCCCCAATGTTGGCAATCTTTAGGAAGAGTCTGAAGACCTGGCTGTTCCAGTGCGCCTTTCCAGATTAGGAAACTCCTGGCCTCATGTCCCAAATGCACTTCATTAGAGACTAGGATTGTCTGCACATTGCACCTACCGCCAAATATCTCTACAGACCTCCTGTCAAGTTCAGCACTTTTCAATTTTATCCATTACACTTGGCCCGGCCTTTAGGTTTTAAATGCGTCATGGTGTCATTGTTTTTAGAGTTTTATTGTTTTGCTTGATGTGTTATTATTTGCTTATGAGTTTACTGTTATATTTGTATGTTGTTGTTTGTTGGCAGCCTTGGCCATTGTAAGCCGCATCGAGTCCTTCGGGAGATTTTGCAGGGTATATATAAGGTTAATAATAATAATAATAAAGAAATAGAGAAATAGTGGAATGTTCTAACCTTTGGGAACCTACTTGCAGGATGGCCAGATGATCGAGTGCCGCTGTTGCTATGGGGAGTTTGCGTTTGAGGAGCTGACGCAGTGCGCCGACGGACACTTGTTTTGCAAGGAGTGCCTAATAAAATATGCTCAGGAGGCGGTCTTTGGCTCTGGAAAGGTAAGAGCGCCTGATTGGGGAGTGAAAGCAGCTAGTCTAGGACTTGAGCCGGTGACTGCTCATCATTTCAGCTCAGATTACAGTATTTTTCTGAGATTTAAACTGAGTATTTAGGGTGCCTCTTGCCATTGAAAATATGTAATACTAGCTAAACCTGGTCACACTTTGCTGTGGCTCAGTCTGATATGAAATGAATGGGTAGTAAATAAAAGTATTGTTACGAACATAGATTCACCGCAATACTCTGCGTTGTGTTGCTGTGTCTGTCTATCTATGTAAATAAAGACGTAATGTTCGTTTGTGGGATTAAGAGAACTCAAAAACCACTGGACGAACTGACACCAAATTTGGACACAAGATGCCTATCAAGCCAACAAGCAACCATCACTCATAAAAATTGAGTGTGTCATTTGGGAGTTGTAGTTGCTCTGACTGTAAACAGAAAGTCTGCTGCTGTCCTCACCTTTTTGCCTTGTTTTTTACTCATGTTCTATTTTGAAATGGTCATATGACTGGTCAAATAAATAAATAATTATTATTGTAGTTATTGGGATTTATAGTTCACCTACATTCAGAGAGCATTCTGAACACCACCAGTGATGGAATTGAACCAAACATGGCACACAGGACTCTCATGATCAACAGAAAATACTAGAAGGGTTTGGTGGGCATTGACGTTGAGTTTGGGAGCTGTAGTTCACCTCCATCAAAACAATGATGGATCTGGACCAATGATAGAATTGGGGCAAACTTGGCACACAGTTCTCTCATGACCAACAGAAAATACTAGAAGGGTTTGGTGGGCAGTGACCTTGAGTTTGGGAGCTGTAGTACACCTACATCCAGAGAGCACTGTGGATTCAAACAATGATGGATCTGGACCAAACTTGGCACGGATATTCCATATGCCCAAATATGAACACAGATGGAGTTTGGGGGAAATAGACCTTGACATTTGGGAGTTGGAATTACTGGGATTTATAGTTCACCTACAATCAAAGAGCATTCTAAACGCCACCAATGATGGAATTGAACCAAATGTGGCACACAGGACTCCCATCACCAACAGAAAACACTAGAAGTGTTTGGTGGGTATTGACCTTGAGTTTGGGATTTATAGTACACCTACATCCAGAGAGCACTGTGGATTCAAACAATGATGGATCTGGACCAAACTTGGCACAAATACTCAATATGCCCAAATATAAACACAGATGGAGTTTGGGGAAAATAGACCTTGACATTTGAGAGTTGCAATTATTGGGATTTATAGTTCACCTACAATCAAAGAGCATTCTGAACCCCACCAACGATAGAATTGGGCCAAACCTCCCACACAGAACCCCCATGTGAGCCAAAGCAATGCGTGGCAGCATCTTTATAGATAAATACTGAAATAAATACCAAAAAAAAAGGAAAAAAATATAGTATTGTTTTTGGAGAGTTCTAGGAGCAGATTACTCTATTTTATTTTATTTTCCAAAGGGTTTTTCTGGAGGAACGTGGTCCCTCAAAACAGCATTGGGAGGCCGCATGAGCCACACACTTTGCCCCATTGTTGATATTAGTTGTGCAATGCTCCAGCATTCGTAATCCATTTTCTTTCCTGGCTCCCTTTCTGATTCATATAAATGTTTTATGTCGTATTTTAAGGGTGCATCTCACCATTGATTTTTGTAGCATTTAAACGGTTTATGTAGTATTTAAATGGTGCATTGCATATTGTATTTAATAATTTGTTTTTTATGTATTTATTTGTTTGTCCTATTTGTGAAAAACCTGTGGTCTAAGCCAGGCACGGGCAAAGTTTGGCCCTCCAGGTGTTTTGGACTTCAACTCCCACAATTCCTAACAGCCGATAGGCTGTTAGGAATTGTGGGAGTTGAAGTCCAAAACACCTGGAGGGCCAAACTTTGCCCATACCTGGTCTAAGCATTAATTACTACTAATCCATTTTCTTTCCCTGCTCCCTTCTTTCTGTATCTAGTCAGAGCTCAGCTGCATGGAAGGGAGCTGTACGTGTTCCTTTCCAACCAGTGAACTGGAAAAAGTGCTTCCTGAAAACATACTGTGCAAATACTATGAGCGGAAAGCTGAAGAGGAGGTGGCTGCGGCCTGTGCGGATGAATTAGTCAGGTAAGGGTTGCGGTTTGTGTCTAAATAATTTGAGGCTCTAAAAATTATGAGACAAACATTATGTATTGGTTGAAGTAGGCATGGGTCGACTTCGGCCCTCCTTCCAGGTGTTTTGGACTTCAACTCCCACAATTCCTAACAGCCGGTAGGCTGTTAGGAATTGTGGGAGTTGAAGTCCAAAACACCTGGGAGGGCCGAAGTCGACCCATGCCTAGGTTACTTACTTAGGCAATCCCTCATTGTCTAAGTAGGATTGTCTTCCAAGAGAGGTGTCCTGTTGGTGGGTCCGTAGGTGACTGTGGAGCCCCATTCTTGGTCTGCATCTTCTCCCACAATGAGGGCATCAGTTTCCAGGTGGAAGGCAGTCCCGGTCGGGGTTGGCTTGACGCGCCTTCCTCTTGGCATGTTTCTCTCTTTCGCCCTCCATTCGTGCCTCTTCAAATTCTGCAGCACTGCTGGTCACAGCTGACCTCCAGCTGGAGCGCTCAAGGGCCAGGGCTTCCCAGTTCTCAGTGTCTATGCCAGAGTTTTTAAGGTTGGCTTTGAGCCCATCTTTAATCTCTTTTCCTGCCCACCAACGTTCTGTCTTCCGTTCTTGAGTTCAGAGTAGAGCAACTACTTTGGGAGATGGTGATGAGGCATCCGGACATCGTGGCCGGTCCAGCGGAGTTGATGACGGAGGACCATCCCTTCAATGCTGATGGTCTTTGCTTCTTCCAGCACGCTGACCTTTCCCCGCCTGTCTGCTTCCCAAGAGATTTGCAGGATTTTCCGGCAGCAACGCTGATGGAATTGTTCCAGGAGTTGCATGTGACGTCTGTAGACAGTCCATGTCTCGCAGGCATATAGCAGGGTTGGGAGGACAATAGCTTTATAAACAAGCACCTTGGTCCCCTTACGGATATCTTCCAGCACACTGATATTTGTCTGCTTGTCTTCCCAAGAGATTTGCAAGATTTTTGCAGGCAGCGCTGATGGAATCGTTCCAGGAGTTGCATGTGACGTCTGTAGACAGTCCAGGTTTCACAGGCATATAGCAGGGTTGGGAGGACAATAGCTCTATAAACAAGCCCCTTGGTATCCCTACGGATGTCCCGGTCCTCAAACACTCTCTGCTTCGTTTGGAAGAATGCTGCACTCGCAGAGCTCAGGCAGTGTTGTGTTTTGGTGTCGATGTTGACCGGTGGAGAGGTGGCTGCCAAGGGAGCAGAAAGGATCCACATTTTTTAATGTTATACCATTAAGCTGTATTTTTGGCATTGCAGAAGGATTGGCTGGTGATGGCTCAGTAGTTTTCTCAATGCTCAATGAGAGGCCAAACTTGTTTGCTTCTGCAAAGGTGTTTAGAGTGGTCTTCTGAATGCTCATAGACTACATTATCATCAGCATATTGGAGCTCTATAATAGATCTTGTTGTGATCTTGGTTTTGGCTTCCAGCCTGCTGAGGTTAGAGAGCTTGCCATTGGTGGGATTTGAACTCTGGTCTCCAGAATATTAGTTAAGTGCTCAAAAGATACACATCTTAATGTAGCCTTAGCAGTATAGGACCTGAAATTAGAGGTGGGTGTGGCTGCCTGCCTTCTTTAGGAGCGTTTTGCTAGGAGAGGTATGCAGCCCAGGGCAATGTTCGGCTGCAGTGGTCAGAGAGGCCAAATGCAGGCCAGAGTGTCTCAAATGTCCGTCTTTGAAGGGTCCATATTCTCTAATGTTACACTATTAAGCTGTATTTCTGGCATTGGAGAGGGATTGGCTGGTGACTCCTGGAAGAGGACTTTGGTTTTCTCAATGTTCAATGACAGGCCGAGCTTCTCGTATGCTTCTGCGAAGGTGTTTAGAGTGGCTTGTAGATCTTCTTCTGAATGTGCACAGACGACACTGTCATCAGCATATTGGAGTTCTATAACATGTTGTAACCTTGGCTTTGGCTTTCAGTCTGCTGAGGTTAACAGCATGCCATCTGTCCGATAGATGATTTCCACTCCGGTGGGAAGCTTCCCGTCAACAAGATGAAGTATCATAGCGATGAAGATGGAGAATAAAGTTAGGGCAATAACAACACATCCCTATTTGACACCTGATTCCACCTTAAATGGGTCACTTTAGAATAGAATCATAGAATCAAAGAGTTGGAAGAGACCTCCTGGGCCATCCAGTCCAACCCCATTCTGCCAAGAAGCAGGAATTTTGCATTCAAATCACCCCTGACAGATGGCCATCCAGCCTCTGTTTAAAAGCTTCCAAAGAAGGAGCCTCCACCACACTCCGGGCAGAGAGTTCCACTGCTGAACGGCTCTCACAGTCAGGAAGTTCTTCCTCATGTTCAGATGGAATCTCCTCTCTTGTAGTTTGAAGCCATTGTTCCATTGTGTCCTAATCTCCAAGGAAGCAGAAAACAAGCTTGCTCCCTCCTCCCTGTGGCTTCCTCTCACATATTTATACATGGCTATCATATCCCCTCTCAGCCTTCTCTTCTTCAGGCTAAACATGCCCAGCTCCTTAAGCCGCTCCTCATAGGGCTTGTTCTCCAGACCCTTGATCATTTAAGTCGCCCTCCTCTGGACACATTCCAGCTTGTCAATATCTCTCTTGAATTGTGGTGCCCAGAATTGGACACAATATTCCAGGTAAAGTGGTCTAACCAAAGCAGAATAGAGGGGTAGCATTACTTCCTTAGATCTAGACACTATGCTCCTATTGATGCAGGCCAAAATCCCATTGGCTTTTTTTGCCGCCACATCACATTGTTGGCTCATGTTTAACTTGTTGTCCACGAGGACTCCAAGATCTTTTTCACACGTACTGCTCTCGAGCCAGGCATTGTCCCCCATTCTGTATCTTTGCATTTCGTTTTTCCTGCCAAAGTGGAGTATCTTGCATTTGTCACTGTTGAACTTCATTTTGTTAGTTTTGGCCCATCTCTCTAATCTGTCCAGATCGTTTTGAATCCTGCTCCTGTCCTCTGGATTATTGGCTCTCCCTCCCAATTTGGTGTCGTCTGCAAACTTGATGATCCATGCCTTCTAGCCCTTCATCTAAGTCATTAATAAAGATGTTGAACAGGACCGGGCCCAGGACGGAACCCTGCGGCACTCCACTCGTCACTTCTTTCCAACATGAAGAGGAAGCATTGGTGAGCACCCTCTGGGTTCGTCCATTTAACCAATTACAGATCCACCTCACCGTAGTTTTGCCTAGCCCACATTGGACTAGTTTCCTTGCCAGAAGGTCATGGGGGACCTTGTCAAAGAAGGCCTTCCTGAAATCCAGGTACGCTACATCCACGGCATTCCCCGCATCTACCCAGCTTGTAGCTCTATCGAAAAAAGAGATCAGATTAGTCTGGCATGACTTGTTTTTGATAAATCCATGTTGACTATTAGCAATGACCGCATTTGTTTCTAAGTGTTTGCAGACTACTTCCTTAACAATCTTTTCCAGAATCTTGCCTGGTATTGACGTGAGGCTGACCAGACGGTAGTTGTTTGGGTCATCCTTTAGGAGCCATTGCTGTCCAAGACTGTCCAAGGCCAGGGTTAAAGTGTTGTTTGTGTTAACTCCACTGGCAATATGGGAAAACGTCACCATTTCCATGTCTTCTTGGTTCCCAGGTGTCCCTTCTGCAACTTCCCGGCCCTCTTGGACAAGGACGTGAAGCGATTCAGCTGTCCGAACCCTCGTTGCAGGAAGGTAGGAATCGGCTATTTGTTTCAGCCATTTACTGCCGGCCTTGTTGGAGCACCGAGGCTGTTGAAACAGTTACGGAGTGGGACTTGGAGGTCTCAAACGGGGAACTCGGCATTCTGGTGCATTTCAGGGTGAATAGGTTTTTTTTTCCAGGGCTGCTTTGCATGAAGTGTCATGCATCTTGATAGGTTTTACAAAAGGAGAGCTGGGAATATCATTGGGGTTGCTTTGGGTTTTTCAGGCTGTATGACTATTTTCCAGTAGCATTCTCTACTGGAGGGAATGCTACTGGAACATGGCCATACAGCCTGATAACCTCACAGCAAGCCAGTGATTCTGGTCATGAAAGCCTCTAAGATGTTATTTGGAAGGTACGAAGGTTGAATGAAAAGTAATGCCTCCACCTTCGTTACTTGGGTTTGGATGGGAATATTTAAATAAATCAAACGCAGAAATCATCCTTAGGATGTGCTCTTTAACTACAACTATTCACTGTTCCACAAAATCACCAGACAATTGGATATATTTCCGCCAACAATGAACAAGTTTTCTGAAACCGTCACAGAAGAAGTCAACACTCTGTTTCCGCAACCAGTGTCTTACAGTTTTATCAATGTACCCATCGCGCACAGATCTTCCGATAGCACAGTAGACTCTCCTCTACAGTTCCATTTTGGTGGGAAGCCTTAGCATTGAACGGTTGTGTTGTTAAAGTGCAAAGTATGGAACCCTGTGCAGACGGTTGGTCAATGCGACTTAAGCAACGTATGCAGCAGATACTGGCTTGTTCAATAGACTCTCCTCTACAGTTCCATTTTGGTGGGAAGCCTTAGCATTGAACGGTTGTGTTGTTAAAGTTTGAAGTATGGAACCCTGTGCAGACGGTCGGTCAATGCGACTTAAATCAACGTGCATTCATTGAATTCTTGAGAGCCAGAAGTGTCACCCCAAAGGAGATACCTCAGAGAATGCAAGCTGTTTATGGGGTTGTGTTGATGTGAGTACTGTGCGTCGTTGGGAGAGTAAGTTTAAAGATGTTGAGGTGGGAACATCTGACTTGCGTGGTAAACAAAGAGCTGGACGTCCTGTGACAGCAACCACTGAGTTTCACAAGTTTCTCCAGTGGTGTAGGGCGCAGACACCCGTGATGATGCGGCATGTCTAATGAAGAGCCACATCCACTGTTTTAATGTGGTGAGATGTGCTCCACACTGGGCATGCATACTCAGCAGCAGGGTAGCCAAGCGCAAGGGCGGATGTCTTCCCTGTGTCTGGTTGTGATCCCCAGGTTGTGCCAGTCAGCTTTCGTTTCTACCGCCCACTTTTGGCTTGATATTCAGGCAGTGCTTCTTGTAGGTCAGAGCAAGACCCAGAGTGACTCCCAGGTATTTGGGTGTGCTGCAATGCTCCAGTGGGATTCATTCCCGGTCATCCTCAGAGCTTGAGATGCTTGTCTGTTCTTAAGGTTAAAAACACATGTCTGTGTTTTAAATGGATTAAGAATCAGCTGATTTCCCCTGTAATAGGCAGTAAGAGCACCTCCTGTTCAACCATTTCAAAGCTCCCTGCTTGAGCGGTGATGGCACAATCATCAGTATAGATGACACTCTCTGTCCCTTCTGGCACTGGCTGGTCATTCGTGTAAATGTTAAACATTGATGGAGCAAGTTGTTTTTTTCCTGTAATAGGCAATAAGAGCATCTAAAGCTTCAGAGAGCATCTGTTCAACCATTTCAAAGCTCCCTGCTTGGGCGGTGATGTCATGATTGTCAGCATAGATGAAACTCTCTGTCCCTTCTGGCAGTGGCTGGCCATTTGCGCAAATTTGAAACATTGATGGAGCAAGCTGGTTTTCCTTGTAATAGACAGTAAGAGAGCTTCTGTTCAACCATTTCAAAGCTCTCCTCTTGAGCGGTGATGGCACGATTGTCTGCATAAATGAAACTCTCTGTCCCTTCTGGCAGTGGCTGGTCATTTGTATAAATGTTAAACATTGATGGAGCAAGCTGGTTTTCCCTGTCATAGGCAATAAGTGTATCTAAATAAAGTTTTGGAGAGCTTCTGTTCAACCATTTCAAAGCTCCCTGCTTGGGTGGTGATGGCATGATCGTCAGCGTAGATGAAACTCTCTGTCTTTTCTGGCAGTGGCTGGTCATTTGTGTAAATGTTAAACATTGATGGAGCAAGCTGGTTTTCCCTGTAATAGGCAATAAGAGCTCTAAAGCTTCGGAGAGCTTCTGTTCAACCATTTCAAAGCTCCCTGCCTGAGTGGTGATGGCACAATCGTCAGCGTAGATGAAACTCTCTGTCCCTTCTGGCTGTGGTTGGTCATTCGTGTAAATGTTAAACATTGATGGAGCAAGCTAGTTTTCCTTGTAATAGGCAGTAAGAGAGCGTCTGTTCAACCATTTCAAAGCTCCCTGCTTGAGCGGTGATAGCACAATCGTCAGCGTAGATGAAACTCTCTGTCCTTTGTTGAAAAGGCTGGTTATTCGGGTAAATGTTAAACATTAATGGAGCAAGCTGGTTTTCCCTGTAATAGGCAATAAGAGCAGCTAAAGCTTCAAAGAGCTTCTGTTTAACCATTTCAAAGCTCCCTGCTTGGGTGGTGGTGGCATGATCGTCAGCGTAGATGAAACTCTCTGTCCCTTCTAGCAGTGGCTGGTCATTTGCGTAAATGTGAAACATTGATGGAGCAAGCTGGTTTCCCTTGTAATAGACAGTAAGAGAGCTTCTGTTCAACCATTTCAAAGCTCCCTGCTTGGGCGGTGATGGCACGATCGTCAGCATAGATGAAACTCTCTGTCCCTTCTGGCAGTGGCTGGTCATTCGTGTAAATGTTAAACAAGCTGGTTTCCCTTGTAATAAGCAATAAGAGCATCTAAAGCTTCAGAGAGCTTCTGTTCAACCATTTCAAAGCTCCCTGCTTGAGCGGTGATGGCACGATCGTCAGCATAGATGAAACTCTCCCTTCTGGCAGTGGCTGGTCATTTGTGTGAATGTTAACATTAATGAAGCAAGCTGGTTTCCCTTGTAATAGGCAGTAAGAGAGCTTCTGTTCAATCATTTCAAATCTCCCTGCTTGAGCGGTGATGGCACGATCGTCAGCGTAGATGAAACTCTCTGTTCCTTCTGGCAGTGGCTGGCCATTTGTGCAAATGTGAAACATTGATGAGGCAAGCATGCCTCTGAAAACACATTTACACACCGCCAAAGGGAGAGAACCGCTAGGTGGCAGCATTGGCTTGTTGTCAGCCAAACATTGTCTTTTTCTCTGATTTTTTAAAGCTGGCTTGTCCCTTTAGAAGCAAAACAGAGTATTTTTCAACCTGTCACGTTTTGTAAGCCCTCTCTTCCTCTAAGGAGTTTTCCCATTTAATCCTGAACTCCACCAACAATGGAATTGAACCAAACTTGGCACACAGAACTCCCATGACCAACAGAAAATACTGGAATGGGTTTGATGGTCATTGACCTTGAGTTTTGGAGTTGTAGTTCACCTACATTCAGAGAGCACTGTGGACTCAAACAATGATGAGTCTGGACCAAACTTGGCATGAATACTCAATATGCCAAGATATAAACACTGATGGAGTTTGGGAAAATAAACCTTGACATTTGGGAGTTTTAGCTGCTGGGATTTATAGTTCACCTACAATCAAAGTACATTCTGAACTCCAACAATGATGGAATTGAACCAAACTTAGCACACAGAACTCCCATGACAAACAGAAAATACTGAAATGGGTTTGATGGCCATTGACCTTGAGTTTTGGAGTTGTAGTTCACCTACATCCAGATAGCACTGGATGAATCTGGACCAAACTTGGCACGAATACTCAATATACCCAAATGTGAACGCTGGTGGAGTTCGGGAAACAGAACTCCCATGACCAACAGAAAATACTGGAATGGGTTTGATAGCCATTGACCTTTAGTTTTGGAGTTGTAGTTCACCAAGATTCAGAGAGCACTGTGGACTCAAACCATGATGAGTCTGGACCAAACTTGGCACGAATACTCAAGATGTAAACACTGATGGAGTTTGGGGAAAATAGACCTTGACGTTTGTGAGTTGCAGTTGTTGGGATTTATAGTTCACCTACAATCAAAGAGCATTCTGAAGCCCACCAATGATAGAATTGGGCCAAACTTCCTACACACAACCCCCATGACCAACAGAAAATACTGTGTTTGGTGGGCGTTGACCTTGAGTTTGGGAGTTGTAGTTCACCTACATCCAGAGAGCTCTGTAGACTCAAACAAGGATGGACCAAACTTGGCACGAATACTCAATATGCCCAAATGTGAACACTGGTGGAGTTTGGGGAGAACAGACCTTGACATTTGGGGGTTGTAGTTGTTGGGATTTATAGTTCACCTACAATCAAAGAGCATTCTGAACCCCACCAATGATAGAATTGGGCCAAACTTCCTACATAGAACCTAGATCCAGGGAGGTGTTTTCTGATGGTCTTTGGTGACCCTTCTGACACCCCCCTCATGACAACCCCGCCCCCCGGTTGCGAACACTATGATATTGATGATTGAAGATGGATAGATAGATGGATCATAAATGGATGGATGGGTGAATGCGGTAGTGATGGAGAGGGAGAGAGGTGCCTTTCCCTTCCTTCATTCTCAATCTGGACAGATAGATGCTGGCAGGTAATCCTCTTGGATCCCCCCCCCCTCCTCCCTTGCCTACTACACCAGATGTGATTGGTGTAAGCTATGTGTGTGTGTGTCTTAGCAGGCAGCCTGCTTGCTGACTCTTGCATTTTCCGTGCCAATATTGTACATACCCTTGTTGTATATCACGGGCGGTCTGTTCCTCCTTTGCAGTCTCAGCACAGGGCACTGCAGCGTTTCCAGCGAGCTGGAAGACGAGGACGTAAAAGATACCGTTGCCATGGCAATAACTCATCTTTGAAAGGGTACATCATCCCGCTCGGTGCCGGGGAAGGAGTTGGGGCGGAAAGGTGGGAGTTTAGAACATCAGA